CTCTTCCCACTTTAGATCCTCTGTAATCTTTACCCCTAAGTCTGTTTGCACCTTGACCCCTGTCAGTTCAGCGTTACCCAGTTTATATGTCAGACGAGGATTACTGTTACCTATATGCAGTACCGTACATTTAGAAGCGTTGAGGTTGATGAGCCACTCCTTGGACCAGTTTGCTATTCTGTTTAAGTCCTCTTGAAGATGGTTATAGTCAACTGTCGGATCCGCAAATATTTTAGTATCATCAGCAAATATGCTGACTTCACATCTCAGGCAACTGGGAAGGTCAAATGTGTATATTATATACAACACTGGGCCCAATACAGACCCTTGGGGCACTCCGCTATGCACTTCTCGATGTTCTGATAACGTCTCACCGACTCTTACTCGTAAAGTTCTTTGCCGCAAAAAGGATTCGATCCAGCTCAGTAGTTTTCCGCGTATTCCCACGAATTCTAATTTCTGTAGCAGCCTACCTGTGGGAACTTTATCAAAGGCTTTTTCATAGTCTAAGTAGATTACGTCTATAGGTTTTTTTTCATTGAACTTCTTTGTCCATGATGACAGGCTCGACAGCAAGTTAGAAACTGTAGAACGATGCGGGCAAAAACCATGCTGCTGTTGTGGAATGACTTGATGGTTGGTGAAAAATTTCCTGATGTGCTTAACTATAATTTTTTCCATAGCCTTGCAAACCACACTAGTTAAACTTATGGGTCTATAATTTGAAGGTTCCAGTTTACTCCCCTTTTTGAATATGGGGGTGACTATAGCCGATTTCCATAGATCTGGCAACATTCCAGTATCATAAGACGTTTGCATTATCATTGCTAGCTGCTCCGAAAGGTCACACTTTTTGAGTAATACAACAGGTATATCATCTGGTCCCGGTGAAGAATCGGTTTTCATTTCTTTGATTACTTGCTGGATTTTACTTGGAGTGAATTTTATTGCTTCAATGGATTCCTCAATTCTTAGTAACGGGTTCAATATAGGTACTTGATTTATTGGCTCTATTTGAAAGACACTTGCAAATTGCTCCCCAAATACGTCAGCTATTTCTTGAGGCTCGATTACAGTTCGACCTTGCTTGTTTAGTAGAACATTTGGGATGCCAACCTTTGATGTTACCTGTTGCCTGATGTAGGAGTAGAATTTTTTTGGCCCAGCCTGGAGTAAATTAGTTTCGTATGTTATACGTGCTGTTCGAGTTTGGTTCATCAATTTGTTATTTAATTTTCTGTAATCTTTGTAGTGTTTATCAAGTCCAGTTAGTATGTATCTATTCCACAATTTCAGTTTGTCATTTATACATTTCTTGGACTCGTTTGAGATCCATGGTTTATTAATGCTTTGCTGGTTCAGTTTCGTCCGGGGTACATACAAGTTGATTGATTCCCTGATTGTTTTAAGGAGGATCTGAAACTGGCTCTGTACACATATTGTGCCTCTCATGCTTCCAAACAATTCAGTGTGTAACATTTCATTGATTTTTTCAAAATCAGCTTTTTTGAAATTTGGCCTGCCATTGGTTTCCTTCTTTTGTGCCTGTGTTTGTATTTGTATATTTGCTAGGAGGCAGGTATGATCGCTTTTACCTATCGGTGCCAGGTGATCGATTTCAGCTATGAGTGATTCATCATTTGTTAAAACAAGATCTAGAAATGATGGTTGGTTTCCTTGTCTATATCTAGTGTGTTTGTCTATTATCTGCTGAAGGTTGCTATCGTTGTACCATTGTATGAAGTTGTTTTCCCGAGGTGAAACATATCCAGTATCCCGTAGTGGCCACTTCACACCGCCGAAGTTGAAATCACCCATTATGACCACTGTGTTTGTCTCAGAAACTTGGTCAAGTTGCTCCAATAGGCTATTGTCCTGGTCCAGTGTGGAGTTGTGTCCTCTATATAAACCACCCAGTAGGAATTTGGTATTTCCAATTTTGACTTCAAGCCACAAACATTCAGAAGCCTCGTGTTTTTTATTGTAGGTAATATTTAATTTTGAAGTCATAAAATTTGTTGTATTGGAAGCATATATCGCAACACCACCGCTGCGCCGGAGAGTCCGATCGACCCTGTACAAATCATATCCAGGTATTTTTACAATCGAGTCTGCTATGTTAGGTTTGAGCCATGTTTCAGTAAGTATTATCAAAGTTGGTTTCAAAGTATTGACTCTAGCGATTAACAAGTCCAGTTTAGAAGTAATTGATTGAATATTCGTATAAAGTATAGTAATTGTGATAAGGGTAGATATTTGCGGTGGATTAGAGAGTACGTTCACCTTTTTAGTTATTAGTTTTTTACAGATTTGGTTTTAATAATCGTTGGGTGTCCACGAATGTATTTTATAGTGATATCTGCCTCCCCTTCGTTGATGCGTTTCTGTAGTTCTTCGCGCAAGTTCTTTAAGTACTCTCTCTGCATGGGTGTTAGATCTGATGTAATAGATGTGGATTCTCTCAGCTTATTCCTGTTGCGAAGAACCTCCATTGCGTCCCTCTTGCTGTGTAAGACAACCTTCAGCGGACGTGGTCTTGCGTTCCCGCCAGGCTTGGGTGCGCCGAGGCGAAACATCTTTATCCCGTTACACTTTACGTTATTAGTGACAGTTTCTATAATAGTTTCGCACTCTTTTTGGTCATGTTCTTTCCTCTGACGAGCCACTTCACTGGTTGATTCCGGCACATCATAGATAATTATGTTGTTAGATCTGTTTGCCCTTTCCGTCATCTCCTGAATAGCAGACTCGGTTACAAGCATGCTCTGCCGCAAACGTAGTTGTTGTACTTCCTCGGTGAGTTCATTTAGCTTATTCAGGATCATAGGCAATTTGCACATTACAGACCGGCAGTCACTACAAAGAAAAGTCATGACACGAGCAACTGTTTTCAGCTCAAGGACGCGAACTTCAGTTGGTGATAGGCCATGACAGTCTCCGCACAACACAACCTTGCAAGAGTCACAAGCGACAGATGCTTTTTTTTCATTAGGCGTTTTATTGCACTTTGCGCATTTTTCTTGAGAGTTAGGGATTTTTTTGGAACTCATTTTAGTAGTTAGTATTTCTTTTTTTTTTTTTTTTTTGTTTAAGTATTTGATTATTAATATTTCTTTTTATGTATATACGGAGGAAATATTATTGTGCCACTAGCAACACCAAGACCGATTATTTGACATGTGTCACTTCTGTCATTGAATTATATAATGTTAATAACGAGGGTAGATTTAAATGTTGATTCACTTGATGTCAAATGCAGATTGTTTTTCACTTTTCCGGGTATATTTTAGTATTTTACGCGGAGATAGCACTAGCACACAATCCACATATATTGTCCAACACTATAGTATTACTTTTGTTAAGAGTTATTCACTTTTAGGCACTAAATTTATTTTTGATTACGCGAAAATTTTTCTATGACCGCCAACACCAAAGTCGAGATGACAGCCCCAAATACATATCACCCTTTATTTTCCTCAAAACAAGTGATATACTTTTGTTATGGCTTATACAATACTGAACTGAATACAAAACAATTTGTAAACACCATGAATTATAACTCACACGATCATGAAGGATCAAGGCAGCCTTTTCAAATTCTCCTCTCACATACTGAGATTCTGCATCCCACGGAGCATAATACATGACAAAAGACACATCCACCCGGTTGACACTGGCCAGTACATTAGTAAGCTGACCTCTGTACCAATCTTGAACTATTGAGTCTGATCTAAAGAACCTTGTAGCTTGAGGGTGTTTGGAAATCTTTGTTGGTCTGAAATAATGTAACTCTTAATGTTAGGTATGAGTAAAATTATTTTCTTATAAATATTTTTTGGTCAAAAAAAATCTGTTGTTGGTATTTAGCAAATTTCTTTTTTTGGATTTTGGGTTATGTTATTAAATGTGTACTCAAGTGAGAAAGCATGTTAATATCATTTAAAATAAAGCACATATTATTGCTAATAACTTCAGTGTTTTGGTATGGAAAATTTACAGTTGGTTATTATTATTGTTGACAAATAGCCACTTACGAGTTATGTAGGGCCCCGTACGTTGTCAGAGCGAGGGCCAAGCAGAATATCATCTCCTTTATTAACATTTTGAGTGTTATGTCCCTGTTGCTCTGTTGTGTTGCGACTTGAGTATTTTCAGTCGAGTTTTGGGCATCGCTAGTAGCAACTAACTTTGTTGTTAATGACGTGACCTGCGAAATATCTTCAGTGTCCGCCGTTGGAAACATTACACGTCATTCAAAAACAATAGTGATATTGAAATTCTATCATCGATAACACAGCATTGCAATAGGAATGTGTCTAAGTGATATGTGTTGGCACTAATAATACTAAGTAAATTGAATGGAAAATTCATAATAAATTTTCACTATACTATTCAGAATCGTTTTTATTTATTTCATAACAATTTACTGTAATTTATTCGTGGGATTCAGGAATTGTCATACTTATCAGCTTGTCACGAGAGCTGTCACTATCATCTGCCACAAAACTGTCAAAAACAACCAAAAGCAAAATATTTCAAGATTTTTACGAGTACTGTAAAATCGACCAATTTTATAACTTTTGTTTAATTATTTATTTAATAATTATTTCACCATATATTTAATAAAATGTTATTTTTAATAAAATGTTTTAAGCTAGACTCAAAGCATTTGATTAAAAGCCCGTGTACTATTTGAGTGAAATGTGACATTTAATTTTTTTACAGTTAATTGTCATTGTCTTTTTCGCAGCCATTTTAATTTCATTCATTGAATTTTACTGTTTTGGATTTTTTGACGACGAAGTTGTGTCAGTTATTGTGTTTTAACGGCTAATGTTAAACAAAACGTGAAAATTATTGATCACAACGACTTCAATACGAAGAAGTTACATTTATAGTATCTGCGCAATAGTTTGTAAAACCTGTAACATAATTTTGTTATGAATCGTTAAACATCCTTGGAATCTCATATACTGAAAGTAGTGTAAATTGTTGCAAACATGGAATCTCCAAGACAGTCAGATTCTGATACAGTTGAGTATTGGAAGAAACAAGCAAAGCATTATGAACAAAAGTAAGTGGACTTGGAACATTACTGAAAGAAATATGTAAAACATAGTATTGCCTATTTCATGTTCATGATTCACCATCTATTATTTATTTTAGGGTCATCGATTTACAACAAGAATTGGACGATTACACCGAAAACTCAGCACAACTGGAAAAGGAATTAGAAGCATCATTAGTACAAGTTGAGAAACAAAACAGAGATCTTGAACATCAAAATCAGCGATTGAAAAACGAAATTGAAATGCTAAGGGTAAGTATTTTCCAATTGGGTTTTAATGTTTGTAAGAGAATCAGATTTTATTACTTTCCCTTGTATTTTAGAACAAATTGGAAAGAAGTCAGCATGAAACAAATGCCTTAGAGAATGAACTACAAGCATTAAAAATAGATAAAGAAAAACAAGGAGTTTACATCAGGGAGTTAGAACAAAAAAATGATGATTTGGAGAGAGGTCAGAGGTAAGAGGTTGCATTACATAATAAAATATTGATTGTTAATTTATTGCAAGACTTGTAATAGCCGCTATGCAATAATTGATCTAAATGTGGGTCAGTAGCTTGTTTTAAGAGTTGTATAATTCATTCTTGTTTTTGTTGATACCTAGTTATCACATTATCTATTCTACTTATTTTAACAAAGATAAGTCATGTGCTTTGCAAACATCTTGGGTTATTTTACAATGAAACTTAAATTTGTTAATGTTCCAATATTCCAATAAGCATAAAAAAGTATGTGTGTTAGAAAAGGAAGAGCATATTTTTTACATACAGTAAACACTGAGTTATTTCTTATCTATTACATAGAACTACAATTTAGTCAATAGTATGTATGTCATCAAAGTTACCTCACAGCAACATATGTGTAAATGGACATTTGTTTACTCTTTTACAGAGTAATATCAGAATCAGTGTCATACATTGAATCACTGTTAAACCAAGCATATGAGAGAAATGCTGTCCTGGAGAGTGAGGTTGATGAAGTGGAGAATTTGAGGATCAGACTGCAAAGAGCAACAGATGAAGCTAGAGGTATGATAACTAATTTGTGTTTAATATCATATAATTATTCTAAAACATCTATTTAGATTGGTGCTACCATGTCTGTTATTTAGATTTGTAATTTGGACCCACTTTTTATTATGGTTAAAGTTATGAAATAGAAATAGAAATTTTGATATTTATTGTTAATTGGTATGTTAATTCCATTTAGAATTATCTAATGCAAAAATAATTATAATTATGCCAATGTCTCATGCTAATGATCTGCAAATAATTGCACGTTGAAAGTAATGTTATTTTAATTGGTTTTTAATAGTTAACATGATTAATTGGAACTGAGGTTACATTCCAATTGTCTTTAATGTGATAAATTACCAAAAACATTCACATTCTTTTCTTTCTAATTTTTATAGTTATGATTCACACATTAGGCAATGAGCCGATGCTTATATAGGTATTTTGCTTTGACATGACATGGGAGTTATTCCAAACTAGCTTATTCTAAAGCTTCTTGTCTTGACCATAGAAATATATACCCTTGCAGTTGTGTTTATTGTGACTTGTTTACATAAACCAACATAGTAGTTAATAGGATAAATATTTTCAAAAATTATTTTGTTTACAGATCTGAAGCAAGAACTGAAGGTAATGGAAAAGGTTCCCAAACCAAAGAAGGGAGATGACAGTACACTTGATAGCTCCTTAGTCAATGGACATATTTCAAACCCAACTCGGACTCAAGTTGAGATAGAAACACAAACATCTCTGATGTCACCACAAAAACGTAAGTTTTTTCAAACAAAAACATAACCATTTAATGCAGCTAAGTAATTATGATATTTTTATGCGATAAGGGGAAATGAGCAATTTATCATGGCGAGTGATCAGTGCCATACATACATAAGCATAGTCTCGCATCACCTGAGGAATAAAGCGTGTTAACAGCCTTTAACATGTTTTGTCCAATATTAGAGCTTCATGCACATAAGCCATGTACATAATGCACCTTTAGTGTAAAACCGTTATTAAGTAAACATTTTTTTAATTGAGTATTTACATGAATTGACTATTTAAAAAGCCTAAAATAATTAAATGGCATTTACTAAATACATGAAAATTTTCGTTTTATAACGCTTTTTACTTTAAAGGTGCGATAAGGTGTTCAGTCTATAATCAGAGTTTAAGTTTGTTGTTACCAATGACGTAATCTAAGTGTTTCAATCATTACATGATTACAGGTGAAATAAATGGCAACGGAATGACACCATCATCTCGGGTAACGGCCATAAATATAGTGGGCGATTTACTACGCAAAGTGGGGGTGAGTCATACAAATGTTCTTACTTTAGTCAAAGCTGTTTTAGTCCTAATTGTAGCACTAGTCACTTTAGAATGCACTCGATAGGGAATAAGCTATGGGATATTAAGTACTTATTTATGTATTTAATGGTTGTTCCTGTTAATTTATTTATTTATGTATTTATTATATTTGTATATTTATTTATGTTGTATCTATAAAGCTGTAGAAAGCACAAATGCCTATACATTATAATAATTTATTTTATTATTTTATGTATACAGTTAAATCTTCGATAATGTAAGTATGGATTTAAAATAAAATAACTTGGGAATCAACTTATTATTATTTATTTCCATATTATCTTTAACATTAGCAAATATTTTATTCATGATGTTGTCATTGTCATTGGGTAAGCCATTATATAGATTTGAATTTAATGTTTAGGTTGAATTGATGATTTAGTGAATATTTATTATTAACTTTATCTAAATATGCAATTTTACTAAATATGCAATTTTACTGAATATTCTGCAAGACACATGTACCTAATTCGACATGAAGTCCACCATCAAACATATTTAAAAAAACAATATAACACGCAACTCAATATTTATGGCTAAAACTAAAGATCAAAATAATACATCACTATCTACAGTTCATTTTTTGATTAATTGAATTGTAAATAAAATATATCACACCATTGAGTGCAGTATATATCTAATCCGCAATCTGACTTAATAATAAAATTGCATTATGTGTTGTGCAATAATATTTAAAGTTTCACTTGTGTATTAAGTATGTAGTAAGTAGGTTTTGGGCTTGTCAAGAAAGTAAGTTCTTAATTTGGTAATGTAAATCAGTAAATAAGATTATAATAATTATGGTTATATTCTAAATAATTTCTACTTGTACTTGTATAATAAATTTAAATAATCATAAAATTATTCAAACGGTAGATATATATTGGTAATGATGAGAAAGATTTTTGTTGCTTGCTCTCCACTCATAGTGCAGTTTTATCATCATCATGCCAAAAACTTACTTTCTGGACATACTCATGATTAACGTTAATACAAATATGTTTATAATAATTTTATCTTTGGTTGAGCTCAAAATATTATGTTGCACTATAGCAGTAGTTTCATAACCAAGATCTCGTCTTGTCTATAGTTACCTTAATTGTATATGCATGGTTGTGTTGTTGTAGTATGCATGAATTTATTGCTTCCAGCTTGAAAGGTTTCTTTGCCGTGAATGTGGTAAGATAAAATGCTCCTGTGACACGCCTGCAGCTGCTTCTCAAATAACTACGCCGAGCGACTCCACCGCCACAGAGAATGGATTGACTAGCAATGACTTAGATACTGGCGGGCCTGTCGAGTACAGGACCCAAAAAGTACTTTACGTACGATCACATTCAGGATCTGAACATAGTTCTATAGCAAAGAACTCGCCTGTTTTAACAAACCGCGCATCTGAGCAACCGTTTGTGCGTTCCACACAAGCAGAGAGTGGAAAATTGAGAAGATCATTTGCCGTACGGTCTCGAGAGGGCTTAGAGAACTTGTTAAGTTTCGCTTCTATTAGAAAAGGGCATGATCAGTCAAAGAAAGTTCGAAACTAATGTCATTTAGTTTTTATTAATATGAAATAGTTCAATGCATTATATAGCTTTACTAGAGATTAATGTTTTATTTTATATTTTTTATTGTTAACACGTAATGACGTATCAAGACATTCGTAAATATTAAATAAATCTGTGTATTTAGATGAAATTAAAATGTTAACATAGAACTAGACTAATAGTTTACACTAAGAATTTTACAAAATCACAGAAAATGACTGTTGTAATATAATAGTGTTAACGTCTGTATTAAACTGCATTTTATTTATTTGAATAATATTTTCAGCTCGTCTCACACGTCATTTGTACATAGTGTTTGCTTTAAATAATAGGTGTTGGTTATCGCCGCACATAATTTCCTATCACCTACTAATATTAACATCATCATTTACTGTGTACTTTTCTTCATTGTAGGCTTTGGAATCAAAGTTAGCGTCGTGTCGCGGTACAGTTAGACCTAAAGAACATTCACCAAATTCAGCCTCGGATGTGAATAAGGACTACAGGTGTGTACTCAAGAACTAGATACGTCCATCATATCATCACTTCTGTATCGTGACGTGCCGCCCGCGCCCGCGCCCGCAGCGTTTAGCTTCTAACATAGTGTGATACTATATCGAGCGAATCTTCAAACATCGCTTATCTTGCTGATCATAATGAATTCAACTCGAGTACTGTGATCATAATCACATTTTTCCTAATTTTACTAATATCTGTGATGATAATGAAATAGTTAAGGATCGGTATATCTATGTGAACGGTTTTGGCCTACCCACCGGAGGACTAGCACTGTGTGAATTACATACCGCACATCATGTAGTTACTAGCTTCACGAAACATGTTGTTTCTATAATAAATTAATGATAATAAAAATTAATGCGTCCATCTTGAAAAACAAAAAAAAAACTAAAAGGTGTTAGTTTACCGTGTCTTGCGGTAATATAGATCTGTTCGAATTCACTTCAGAATGAATACCTAGTTATTGTTATAATATTGAGTTAATGTCTAATATAGTTATCACTTGAGTGCACGTTTTCTCGGTGTAAATTTTAGGAGCTATTGGACTCACCTTTACATTACTACAGTAAATAAAAAAAGATACTTTAGTCTATTGGTGGACAAAAATATTTTCGAATGATATTTATGTAAATAGTAGGTAAAGAGGTATGAATGAAATTGTTAAAATTTAAAATATTAAAAATTTATCAGTAAAATTTGCAATGACATTATTTATAAATCTATCTATGTATTGTATAATATGTATTTTGTACTTGCATAATAGTTATATATTTATGAAGATGCTATCAAATCTATGTATTCGACAATACATGAGAATATTATTATTATTATAGCAATATATGTTTAAGTTAGATTTCTCCATATTTGTTCTGTAGCATCATGAGGTACTATCGTAATGAGGATTTTTACAATATCGACAAGAATAATTTAATAAAAACATTCTAATAATATAATCAGGTGCTCAATACACAATTAGTTAAATACTTAGAACTGGAACGGTTTGAATACTATTTTTAAGAATTAGTTTGATTTTATAGATTTTCGAAAATGATTGTAGGTGTTGCAGAAATAAATTCGTGACTAACCATAATTACTATTGGGCAATAATTGCATGAGTGTATCACTACATTGTTCTAAGCATGCACTAATAATTGTGTTAAGTGTTCGTCATTCCCATACTATGTATAGAGGGCGTAAGGATCGCTGTCATGGAAACTAAAACTAAACCTTCAGTAGGTACTCATACAAATTGTAATGTATTGTTTGTAATATAGATCAATAACGTTTTGTAAAGGAATCCTACATTTTTAACCAAATTCGGAATCAACAACAATCACGGTAATGCGACGTCATTTTAATCAGTCTGCAGGTCATCAATAAAATAAAAACTGGATTAAAATGCACTTAGATAACAAAGAAAAGTATCGATAACAGTAACAAATTAATATGCATGGCCATTCCACAATATTCGTCAATAGATAATACATATTAATAATTTTATTTAAAATATTTTTAAACGGTTTTTTTTTTCATGTCAAACTTTCTAACATCAACATTTTCTGAAGCTAGCTATAGTTTCCATTATAGTGTTCCAACAGCAGTGTATCATTTGTTTGTATTTGGCATTGTTATTACCAAGTTAATACAAGATCATTCTAATGTAATTGAATATTTCTTAGGATAACAAGCTTGGTACAAAATAATTGTATTAATTTAATATTATGACGAGGAAGTCGTATCTTGCCCTAAACACTTAGTAAATGAGTAGCAGCAATTTTGGTTTTACTTAATTTATTTACACTACATTCTTTCATTCATCATTTAAATTAATAACGCGGGAGAATATGAAATGAAAACAAATGACTGTAGGTAGAATTTGTAATTTTCAATATTTCTGCTATTTAATCTAACACTGTGTTTACAATAACATATAACTATTACAAAATAGCCCCAAACAAAAATAGTGTGTAATTAGAAACTCACAATGTAACATACCTCCAAACTTGATTTTTGTGATGTCTTAAATAAATAATAATGTATTCTAAATTGTTCTAAATAGTTATGTCTACAGATTTAGTTGGTCGTAACAATGGTTTGTTAATTGCGTAATGTTACTCAAATATATTTGCCCAGTTTGCTGCAAATAGTTTTAAGTATTTAGCATTTATACGTTCACGCGTGTGGTGACCAAACAACTTTTTATTTTTTACGCAATATAAAATATGGAACGATAATAAAGTACGTCAAAACGGAACACATTCTTTTCTTTACCCTTCCTTATAATAAAATAACGACCTAAACAATACTGATACCTTTTTACACAAAACAAACATTTATCTATTACGTGCTGACTAGGCAAACTTCGTACTGCCTAAACATTTTTTTTTTCACTTTTTAAACCTTCCCTGGACCTTCACGAACATCTAAAGACCAAAAATATCTAACATCGCTTGCTGGTCTCGAGTTTTAGCGAGACTAACGAACAGAAATTCATTTTAATTTATGTATACAGATTTAATAATACACTATTCAAACAATTTGTTTCCCAACAAGCACATTAGAGAGTAGGTTGCCCCATTCGACTTTGTTAAGAATATCGACCGGTGGTTTGAATATTTTTAACAATTCTGGAATCGATTTTTTGAGTAATTGTATTCGGAGTACCAAAGGAGAATTCTCTGCTTGGTTTATTACTTCTATGAGAATTTTACCTGAAAATCAAAAAAGTTTTACTTCAAGGGGTTTAGGATGGTTCATACTGTTACATTTAGGTTCTGTTAGTCTAACTAGTGTGAAAACAAATGATGAACCTAATAAATAAAAAAATATACAACTGGAGAATAAATTGATCTAATTTTCATAGTTAAACAATTTATTTGGCGACAAAAATTAATCATTTTTATAATTGAACTTACCTATTACTTTTGGAGAATTAGTCACCCATAGGGTTACTACATAGAGTGGTGATGTCTGTATTGCATAGATTATTTTAGCTAATAAATGCTGCACAATGAGAGATAACACTCGAAACTGAAATAAAAAAGAAAATGTTTAATATTGATTAAAAAATTTCTTTATGTGGTTATTGAACCACACAAACAAATTGCATACAGGTGAAATGATTTAAATATTAATAGTTACATAGCAACTGCAAACTGGGGTGGGTACTCAAGGAATAAAAATTGTGATATGAAGATATTCTTACCATGGTAAATACTATGTAATAAAGTGTTGTGGTAGGCAATAATAGTAACAATATAGTAAATGCCACAGTGCCTACGAAAAGTTCCTGGTTTGTGTATTCACAGGAGTCAATGCCACCTCGTAGTGGATTGTACTTTCTTCCAACAAACAGCCTGAGTAATGCAATTAGTCCAGATATCTGTATATTAAATAGCCTGCAATATAAAAAAATAAAGGTGTAATTGTTAGATTAGCTAAACAGATTTTAAAAACTTTTATCTTTCTCCAAATATTAGGCATAAATCATTACTTCTAGCTTTCTCGTTGAATCTTTATAATTATATTTATTAAATCATTATTCTGGGTTTTTATGTATAGTATTCTTACCTAGCTGCATACACATAAATGCAATATGAATGAAATGTGGCAATACATATTAGGTCAGATACTATAGCAGTTTGAAATGTGAAACCTAAATATCCTATGTAGTGGTATAAGCCTAGTATAATATACAGTTTCTCTCCAGACACATCTGTAAAAAGAAATAAATCAATTTAACCTGTTGAAAATCATCCCCTAAATTTATTCATACAAAAGTAGTCCCTAATCATTGGAAATAAGGTCTATAATGTAGTTAGTGAAGAGCGGTCACCGGTGACCACTTGGGGATGTATGGGTTTAGTTAAATATTGAAGAAAATAATTATGAATGATCAATAATCAGTTTGTTTACCTAGAAACAACCACCATAGCTGTACATGATAAGAAAAATATTTTCCCAACATTTTATTGAATGCATTATTTAGTTTCAATCCCACTGGAGCACCCATAAGCCATTTTAGTAGAGAGTAAAGAGAATTAATTAATTTCTGCAACAGAGAAAACTTGTTTATAAGTATCAGAGCTCATAAAACTGTTGTGTAGAAGTACCATCGATGCATACAACTGATTTAAACTTTACCTCTAAAACTCCCATGAGTCCTATGCTAATATCTCTTTTGTCTTGTGATAGCCATTGCAGGGCAATGTATCCCAACATAATGTCCATAGCTATAGCTAGAATTAAATTACCTTGTTTCACAGCCACCTGAAGAATTCATAAATAAAGGTATACATCCTTTTTCTTACTAGAATAATAAATAATAATATCAATGTTTGAAATTGAATACAAGTTTGAATACTTATATCTTAACTTACTTTTTTATCTCTTCGGAGAGTTGATATTAGCCATTTAATTAATCTCCAATAATTACAAACATGTTGCAGAAACATGGAAGAAGCTAGCCATTGCTGGTTACTAAAATTTGTATCATTCTTATCAACTACTAAACCATGTTCTTCTTGTATTAACTTCACTAATTTTGTAAAATAACTATTTTTTGAATCAGTTATTGCTTGGGAGTCTTTAATACTGTTATAATCGTACAACATAAGAATACAACTAGTAGTAGTGGTGACTTGCTTTCCATGTAATTGTAATTTGTGGATTTTCAGTGTTGTATTTTGCTCTATGTCGAGAAAATTTGAAAATCTACTTGCAATTTTTTTCGGCATGTATTTACCGCAATATCCATATATTTCGTTTTCTCGTTGTTTCGCAGACCACACATTATCACCATTAGCATATTTCGTTATGTAAATAGTTGCATTATTATCATTAGAAGAAGTAACATATCCTTTGAAAAAGATTTCTTTGGAATCTAGTGGTAAAATTGGTATTAATATTCTTACAGTAGAGGACATTTTTTTTACATTATTTCTAATCACCTTATCAATGTACAGTGTTTAAAAGAACTCAAATAGGTACCTACTAAATATTTTTACGGTATTTTATTGCTAGTGCTAAAACTTTTAACTGCTAGTGTCAATGTCGAAACAATGATGACAGTTTCTGTCAAATTTATTCCTTTTTTTTTTATTTCTCTACATAGACCTTTATAGACTTTTGTGATTCGAATATTTCTGAAGACTCGATTTTATAAAGCAATAGACTAAAAGTCTCATAATAAAATCAAAAACCCACCTTAAGCTGTATGTAGCCCGCATAAAATATAAATAAACGAAAAAAATAATATTTGTATTTGTATTTGTATTTGTATTTTCGCATTGTACTAAAAGATCAAAAGACATACATTTATTATTTAGTTATTTTATATTCTTTCTAAACATACGTAAGTAAATTAGTTGCGTACAATTTTAAAGTCGTTTTTATTTTTTTATATTTCTTCAACGTCTTTGCTTGATCTCTATTAATTAATATTTCCTCTTCTATCAGGTTGCTGAACTTGATTTTTCTGTGGTCTTTCTTTGTTTAGTGAGACCATAGACATAGACATACAAAATTGATTGAATAAAAACCACAATGGTACTACTCTAGCTAGTTTAGGCTATAGTTTAAAAAAAAATTCCGCCATTTTAGTTTCGTAATTTGATTGATTTGTTGGCTTTTACGGACGACTGCGATAGAGTTCCTCTGTGAATATGAAAAAATGATCCTGCTCTAAACGATTCTCAGTGTGATTTTCCTGCTATTTTATTGAGTTCCGGTTATTTACCTAAATTTAACAAAGTAAATCCTGGGAAAGGCTAAATTTCCCTTTCAATATGTCAGCCCACGAGCAAATGAGGGCAATGTTAGATCAACTGATGGGCACCGCTCGCAATGGTATGGTATTTTATTTTCTTTCTATAATTTACACGTACATTAAATGTGTATTTTCTATTAAATATGTGAAACAAGAAATGGAGTACAGGTTCATATTAATTGTTTCAGGTGAAACCGACAGACATAGTGTCAAATTTTACGATGATGCTGTGTGCAAATCGTTTTTATTACAATGTTGTCCTCATGAAATTCTATCCTCCACGGTAAGATATTCTGTTTTGATAAAATTTATGGGTAATGAATTCTGAGTTTTCATTAAGTTTGGTGTACTTCTCTTTTTTAAATAATGTTCTGAAATGTTAATGAAATCTCAGTGTTTTAATTTATTATGGGAGTTGCAGTGCTTTTTTGGCCCACATACATTGAGATTTTACATAATGTTGATTTCTACTACATTTTATTTACTTTAATTATTCTGTACCGATCTTAATGTATGTGTTTGATTTTCACTCTCACATCTCTTGTCATTATGATACTGTAGTTTCGCTGGAGAATTCTTGCATCGGAGTGGCATTAACTGTGGTGAAATATGCTTTTCAGAAAATGCCCAACACTAGTCTTTATTGCTCATCACAATACTTAACAGATGAGGGATAGATTGTATGAGTTAGGCTGTTCTGTAAGTACCAAGATGTACGTATAAAAACATTTATAGTTAGCTGATTGTATTATTACTGCTAAGCAGTATTTAATTTAATAAGGCTCATGAAATAATTAAATTTTCCAACGGTTACTAATGCTGCTTCGGTGAGTACATGAGAAAATTTTAGGAACATGAAAAACATAAGCCTGGGTGAGAGCAATTTGGTGTCATACATACTTACTACATTGGGTACGTACTGTGCTGTTTAAATGGCTAGCATATCCAACAAACTTTTGCATGAGCAACAAAGATTTTCAAACTAAGAAATTCTTTAATGTTTTAGTTGTACTCAAATCAACATGTGACAAGTCATTTTTATTAAAATTTCTAGTTATAAAATTATACTTTTCTGAATATGTACATACATGTACAAGTGTATTTTATGCTAGATTTATGTTATAACAAAAATATATTATAACATTTAACTTGCCAACATGACAAAAACACTGCACATTTTTAAATTGAAATTTGCATTTAAAATACCACTGATAATGATAAATTATTGAAATGTATGAAAAAACAAGTTTAAATTGCAATAAGTTTGAAATTTAAATATTTTGTAATAAAAATAGTCTGTGACCTTTAATTTTGTTATGTTCTCTATAAATATCTTTGGTCTAGTTAGGATATTCGGGTGTTTCCTCTAACATTTGTAAGTATTTAAGATAAATTACATTATCCTGTGCGTGAACCTGGGCTGTGTGAGCAGTGGTGATGTAGTATGTATTTCTTTAAAATATTTTTATGACAGATTTTTGTGTATTGAGAATAATATTTAATAAATATCATTTGTGTCTGTTAGGGAATGTTATAAAACTGTATCATAAGTTAAAGATGAATATAAAGTAAATCATACTTAACAAAATCTGTTGGACAATTGGTATAGGGCATTTAGTATTTATGTGGTTTTTATTTCTATTACAGCGTATGGATTTAGGTGAGTGTCCTAAAATACATGATTTGGCTCTACGGGCGGATTATGAATTAGCTTCAAAAACCAAAGACTATTTCTACGATATTGATGTAAGTATATCTATTAATTGCATATATATTTGAACATTATTAAATTGATATTTTTTATTTACTGCAATTGATAATACAAATAATGTTTATATGGTGGTGCTTAGGAGAGACACCAATCTTCTAGCAGCAGAGACATTGTGGTGAAACATTATCATTACTAGCACAATATTGAAATGACATTTAGTTGTATTTTTTATTTAATAATCATTGTTGTTAATGTGTCATATTGTAACTATTCAAATAAGTAATGACTGTTTGATTTGTGGTGCTTAGGCAACAGAACATTTAGAGGCATTTATAGCTGATTGTGACCGCCGAACTACAGCAGCCAAACAGCGCCTTGCTGAAACTCAGGAAGAACTATCAGCTGAAGTGACTGAGAAGGCAAATGCTGTACATGAGTTGGCTGAACAGATTGGTCAGAAGCTAGCTCGCGCTGAAGCACTTGGAGAGGAGGGCATGGTGGAAGAAAGTGTTAAACTCATGGGAGAGGTAAGTTGTCAATTAATACTTAATTGCCATTAACATAGTGCTCATCTTTGGAAGATTCACTACATTGATTACTTGATTGTATTGCAGATTGATGAACTCCGTAAGAAGAAGGCAGTAGCTGAACAAGAATACCGCAATTCTATGCCAGCTTCCTCATATCAACAACAAAAATTACGAGTTTGTGAAGTCTGCTCTGCCTACTTGGGTATACACGACAATGACAGACGTTTAGCAGATCATTTTGGAGGAAAACTTCATTTGGGCTTTATTACTATTCGAGAGAAACTAGCAGAATTAAAGGTATATGGTATTCTTTAGCATAATAATTTATTTATTAATTAAAACAAAATAATAAACACTTTGAGGTGCGTAATTAATTAACATAAACTAATTAAATGCACTTTAATTTTAGAAAACTGTAGATAAGCGACGTGAAGAGCGTGGTGCTTCAGAGCGTGAACGCTCAAGCGGCCGTCGGCACTATGTTGGCGGCCGCGAGTTGGATCGGCGAGCACGACGCCATCGCGAGTCTGCGCGGGACCGAGACCGCAACAAAGAAGACCGTGATCGTGACCGTAAGGACAGGGACCGTAGAGACGGTGACAGAGACCGTGAGCGCAGGTAATCTTCGATAAATTTACATATCCATAAAAATAACCAGACTGAAAACATTTTAATTTGTATAATGTTATCTGTAAAAAAAAGCTGCATTTCATTTCCATAGATACGAACAGCGTAATATATTGTTTATTTTACACAGACAGACAGCGCCTGCTGCTTGATCTTAACATCTCTACATTCGGAACTGGTATGGTTGAATTAAAACCAAGTATCGTAAATTTTTCAGTTGCAAACATAAAGTAACTAGTCAATGACTTTTCTGCGCGGTACTAAGCAGTTTACGAGTGTTAAGATTTTATCAAAATTGACTTATACTTATTTCTTTGAACAGGCGCAGTCGGTCACGCAGTAGAAGCAAGCGCGACGGCTCCCGCGAGCGTTCTCGTGGTCGCGATCGGGATCGTGAACGCGAACGTGACTCGCGCCGCAGCCGCTCACATCGTTCCTCTTCAAAAGAACGCAGACGCGATTAGCAACAGAGACACAGAATCATCTAGGAATATTATTATAATTAATAGCCTACTTCCTATCTCAAACCTACCTTGTGGTAGAATAATAACCAAATTCTTCTCTACAATAGAATTTTCTCATTCATGAATAGTTTTTTTATGTTTATCTCACAATAGTTCATTTTAATAAAACCTATTTCTTGTCGCAATATGTGCTAACATTAATGAATTGAGCACGACGAATTCTCAAAAGTCATAAATTTATAATTTTAGAAACATAAGCTTTGCGTTTTCATCACCAATAATAGCTATTAATATAGTTATTTTCTATAGATTTTAGGAAACTAAAACATATGTTGTCAATATGGTGTACCTATATTTTTACTATCTAGTGACAATATATTTTTATTGATAGCATGAATATTTATGTTGACTATATTTATAACTAGCACTGCCGACAGAGGAGCAATGTATTGTAAGAGGAGCAATGTATTGTATTGTAACGCCTAAGTTTCATTTCGACTGACGATATTTGTGACTAAAACTCCCAGTCCGTGTATATGTAATATGTTCGAACGGTCCTGTACTATTTGATGTGGGATCATAAAAATGTAGAAATATTTGTCATTAAACTACAGATAGGCCAGTTCAATTAGTTTCTAAAATTCCAAAACGTTTAAGCAATAAGAAAAGATTTTTTGCCATTACAATTTTTCTTTGATAGGAACAATGGTTTTTACATGCTTTTTCATCCGCTAATAGTTGATGAGACTTGCCTGTCTCATTACTTTTTCTATTTTCTCTGGTTCCGGTTGTCATACTGTTCTTAATTATTGTAATAGCTATTTTCCCTGGCCTTTATGCTGTAAGGAACTAATTTGCAGGATCGTTCAATTATTAGTATAGGCTATATTATATAGAAACATTTTATTTTAGTTATAAGTACCTATGTAAGACTTGCTAGGTTCTAATATAAAATTTAATTTGAATACTGTAATTATATTACAATTTCTATGTCTGTATAGACCTAGTTTGTTTGCGCTAGTTGATTATTGGGATGAAGTTATTTTAGTAGTTAAAGAGATGATATTGCAGCCATAATATCAGAAGCAAGTCAGACATTACAATCATTACACACGAAGACATGATGTAACATGTAGTTTAGTGCTTTTCGTTTGTTAAAATTAAAAATCATTATTGAATAATATTGCTTTTTTATTTTAATCCAGTTTTAGTGAATATAGTAGAAACCAAATCCTCCAGTTTCCCTTTCTGTGAAATAAAATATGTTAACAAATAAATGTCAATTACATACTGATCAATAGTAAAAATCACTGTAGGCCAGGGATCCCTGGGCTCGCTGCTATTGCAGCGGTAAGTCTCTTCTTTGAGGAGTGGCTTGAGAGACACTACAGCGTCCTCACCTAGGTACCGCCTGATGCAGGTCCTCACCGGACATGGGAGCTTCGCCATTACTGCGAGGACTACTCTAAGGACACGGTGGAACATACGGTAGGGGCATGCCTTGCGTGCCGTGTGCCGTGCCCTCAAGGATGTGATCGGCGACGGCGACCGCGAGCAGTCATGCTAGTTAAGGAGGAGGCGGGGCGCGTGTGGAACCGAAGAACTACCTCCTCATAACCCAGCCTTCGCGACACTCCGGGCGTTGGGGATCGCGGGAAGATTTCCGGCCACGTAAGCACGGGTCTGCGGACGGCGAGCAAGGATAGCTCACCACCTCACAAGTACTAGAACTGAGCGTACGGCGCGTCGCGTAAAATGCGGGTTTTAAAGTGCTATCAGCCCATAGACGGGGACTACCAGGATTGTTGACTTGCTAGAGGGTAGGTTGTCATATTCATATGGCTACTGAGGCCCTGGCTTTGAGCAAGTGTTGGAAGGAATAGGGTGGTTTTTAGTTAGTACGCACCGCTTTCTGTACGATCACATGGTGTGGAAATTATGATTTTCTTGTAAAATTCATAGGAAATGTTTTTTGGCATGGTAGATAGCAAGATAGGTGTGGTGTGATTGTCAATAAGGGTCTGATGATTAAATATTACGACAGTTGAGGGAACTCCCCAGTGGTTACCAGTTTTTTAAATAAATAATATATAGGCAGGCAAACTACGTCCGTTTCGTTTATCAATACTTTAAAGTTTTAATTGGTACAGTGTGTGTATAATCGTGAATTGTTGACAAACAATCCAAAAGGGGATGTCCTGTAGGTCCTGTCGGTTGGATTGTTGACAAACAATCCAGAAGCATGTGTAACGATGAAATTACAGAAATAAAACTGTCCAAGGTTCTAAGTATAATTCATTTATTTGTTGCCTCATTGTGATGCATTTTATGCTCACATGACAATCTACTTAAAACTAAATGTAACGATAATACTTGGTATTTAAAAATACCAGTCAGCGATTTAAGAAAGCACCTACATTTTTTTCTATTACAATATCTAAGATTATGCAAACTAAGACTTTATACTACACTAAGAGATAAACACCATGCAAAGTGGTCTTTATTTTGGCTAGTCTAGAAAATCTGTAAGGTAATAATTGCAAACGACTACTAACATTAAGCATTTGAATTCGTTCTTACAATGAATTGTATATTTAAAACATCAGTATGAGTGTGGATACAATTCATATCTTTTATAGAAAAGTAAATAAAAAAATAACTTACTATCTATTTACAATAACTGTCTTTTTGAGAATATTTAAACAATACAGAATAATTAGGAACATAAGAGAAAGATAACATATAAAAATAATGGCATTTATTGAACTAAACCTAATATTATATAGTTACCCATTCGCTATGTAATAACTAATAACATGATTGCTGATAACATACATGAACGAAAATGTCCGAAAACATTAATTTCATAATATATTATGTCATTTGTAAAGAAAATCATGTTTTAATCTTTTAAAAATAGCACTAAAATCACGCTTCCACACAGAAACCACATTTCCTTAAATAGGTATTACGGCAAAACACCAAATTCGTATTTAGTTATAAATATCAGCTGTAGTTTTTAAGACTTAGTTTTACTACCATTAAAAAGTAAAGTAGGTAACATTTTTCAGAGTCAGTGTGGGATGGTAAAAACTATTTTATAGCTATCGTAATTTATCCTGAATAGTAGACTTCATTCAGCTAGTTGATAATAGATTTAAATTAACTAAAAATTTATATGAGATCATAACAAATATAGCATCATACATTTAACGAGAAAAAATTGATGTAAATAAATAACTAATATAAGTAGGTGAAAAATAAAACCTTCCCTCGCGGCCGGAATACAGGAGAATTTTTGCGCAGATAACAAATTCCTGTGACAGCTGATGAGGGTAATATGGTTCGTTTAGCGCACTTCACAGCCCTTTCCTTTTGTTTACTTTTTGGTACAATCGATAAATTTGAATTATGACCCGACATAATTTTTAAAGTCGACATTTGCGTTCTGAATTTTTGATATTTTGTCGACTAACGATTTATTGTCAAAGCAGGTCATGGATCAAATTGCTCGATTGGGCACCAGTTAATGCAATTTATTTGAAGACCACATGTACAAAGTCGCGTTTGGAAAATATCGAACAATAGAACTAATTCTACCACACAGTGTTAAGTATTAAACATGACAACTTCTAGAATAACCAACAATATAATAAGAAAGGCCTCAAGTTGCTTAGAGTTATATACAATTAGTACATGTAAACACCTCATAAAATAATGGTACATACATAGACTACATCTTTCCAACGAGAAAACCGATTGCGATAATTTATTTAAAATAGAAGATCGGACTATAATAACATTTAAGATATAAGTTAATTAGAGAGCAAGAATACAAAATTGTACATAGACCATAATTTAATTAAAGAATAAAAAATTGATATTAGAAATATGCTGAATACTATTTTATGGCAAAGAAAAAAACAAACAAACGAGAAGTTGTCTAAAAATAACATTTGGCACGTGGAAAGTATGGTTTTTAGAAGTGTACAGTAAGTCAGTCGATTGGATTTGTTGATTAAAAGTAATCAATATATTTTTCAATAAACATAATAAATATAACCAACGTGAGGTTAAGTTGCCTGTACAATTTACCAAACTATTTGGTAAACAAGTAATAAAAATAAGATTGGCTAACACAGATGGTACCTGTTGTTATAGAAATGTTCTAAATTATATGCTTTTTAATAAAAGTTAAATCTCTGAAACAAACTTTTGGAGCTGTTCAATCACTGTTTTTGTATTAAATCAATCTTTATTTTCTTATCAGTATACCAATTAATTTTGCTGATTGTACATAGTTCGGGAGTAATCCTAAAAGTTGTAAAAATGGTGGTAAATATCTGAAATATAGGATTATTTTTAGTTCATAATTCGAAAAACTACATAAAGTATTTGATTACTTACATAATAGATCCCTGTTTAGAAATTTACTATAACAAATTAACTACCTACGTTTTTTAATCAAACAATAATTTACAATAGGTATTATAAACAAATGTTGCATAAGATTATTAATTTTGCTAAGTGCAGTTAGATTTTCATTGATAGAATTTGATTTAGTATGAATACTAAAATTTGATTTAAGTTATAATATTATGCGCAACATGATGTTTAGATAGTTAAATAAGTTTTTGTGATTTAGCGCAATAAGATGTCATATAAATAATGTAAATGGCCTCTCAGACTAGTAAACTAGATTATTGCAGTGCAATAACGTAGTCCCCGCGCTTTTATTTAATTTTGATTTTGTGTAGTTTCAGCTTGAACCCTAGCATCTCTGAGAGCACGCCTGACAACGCCGATAAGATGACCACTTTGGTGATAGTATAGAGGTAGTGGTTGGCGCATAACGCTGATATCTTAAAGGGCGCGTCCAATTCCTGAAATAAAAAACAGTTATTTTAAACGACTGATGAATGTTTGATGTAAGTACAGTATGGTAGACGTACTCCTTTCTTTCAAATTCTTTTTTTAGAGTTTTAACTCATTGGCTATGAACTTCAAGTCGAAAAGCCAATGACAAAAAATATGCCATAAATCAATGTTTGTCCCACAGATGTTTATAATGAGTCAGTTATGTTCGTGGTATCAATACCTATACCGTGCTTTATCATTTTGTTCTTCTTACTTGGGACGGAGAGACACTGATTCGTGGAACCTATTCAGATAAACGCTCCATAATTATGGATTGTGAAGAAAATAAATCATAAGTGTTGTTTATTTTGTTCTTGTGTATCTTCATTGTATTTTTTCTTTAATAGGAATGGGTTGTGTACCCATTCCTATTAATGTTCCTATTCCTATTCCTTCATCATAATGAAAGATACATTAGTAGACAATTAGACATTTATTTTTACACTAGCAAACCCGGCGAACTCCGTTTCGCCACCAGGTGGCTTCGTTTTATGTAAAATTTCGTTTAGTGATTAAAATATGAAGAAAACTCTTTCTTTGCTATAAACCTCACGAAGCCCGAGACCTTTCCAACGAATGCAAAACTGTGTAAATCGGTTCGTGCGTTCTGGTGTTATAGCGTCAGGAAGGAAAACTCGACTTATTTTTATATAGTAGATATGAGTAGGTAAGATATATAAGTAGCATATATTGTACTAACGAGTTAAAAGTGCCATTAAATTAATCTAATTCAAAAATGTGTATTAATAATTACCTTCAGTAGATCAGCAGCCAATTTAAGCACGTTGTTTGCGACAGTGAGTTGTTCTTTGCTTTCTGGCCTCTGTTCTATGGCAAGATGGAGGTTGATCTGTTCAGTAAGTATGGCGGAGAGACAGCCGCGGTACTTTTTGTTCACATTGCTACCCAAAGTGCCAAGTCGTAGCAAATATATGCCGATGCAGAAGCTCCATAGTAGCACTTCCAGTAGCCAGCCGCTCTCTAACGTCACTGAGTCCTGAGTATTATTACACTATTATTAATCTTATTAATTTACTGAACTTCCACTAACACACAGTGACTTGTGATGTATGGTGTGAAAAATGAAGCTTGTAAACGTCACAGTAGGTGGTCGGTGGAAATGAAAGTGATACTTTTGTGGCATGTAATTGTGACCTTTATTTGGCATAGCGTGCGTGAAATGTTATCTTCAAAACGTGCTTATGCTGCAAATCTATAATCTATGATCTTCCTAAGAAAAAAGCTTTGAAGTTAATTTTGTGAACATGAAAGCTGTTACCGTGAACATGTGAACCGCAACATATATAATAGTGCAGGTCAGATATAGTGAGTATGAAGCAAAGGAGGACTTACCCTTAGCAGATGTGTGCTGACACAACCCAGTAATACTACAATGAGCATGAATGCGGCTGACACGATTACTTCCACAGAACGCTGGGGCCCACGGCGCTGTAACATACAAATATCATTTAATTAGTAATTTTATACGATATTTTAGCAGTTATATATGCAGCAGATAGTTAAATATGCAGTATTGCAGCATACTGCTAACCTCGCTAGGCTGTAAGTTTGTCGCAATACTAAGAAACGAACTTTATTTTAGTAGGGGCAAATAAGTTATAGCAGTGTTGTAACAAGTAGACGCGGCTATACTGAGCTGAAAATGGATTAAGCGCAGATTATTAACAAATAGATGCTGATGGCGACCACCGGTGTTATTTTAGTGAGGTAAGAATACTACAATCCCTAGTTATCTCCCGAAAATTTCAGCTTTCCGAAGGTTTGTCCCATTATAAAAAAGAATAGTATAAGGTACTCACTCGCAAATAAGACCGTGTAGACAACCACGTCTTGATATTTCTCACAGTATTAAGTCTGAAATGTGGTAGTTCAGATTTGCGGGCTCGTCGTGCTGAAGTGAGATGTGAGAACAACTTGGCGTATAGGAACCGTTGCTTGAATGCTCGCTCCGCCACGGCCAGCAGGAAGAACACGAGCGCTCCCAGCGCGAAACGCAGCATACAGGACAACAGGTTCGTTGATACCACCCTGGTTCAAAGAAAGAAAAAACCTTTATTTCACATGCAAAAAACAAGTAACATGTACAGATTATGTGTTCGTTTATGAATACTAATGTACAGTCAAATGTCAAAAGTCCACTGCCACCGGCAATGCGTAAGTAATTTCATATTAATGTGCATAAAAACGCGTGCGTACGTATAAACACACGCACGCGTACGCACACGGATAGAAATATGCGTGTACGTAAGTACATGTGTGTATAAGCGCTGCAGCGTAACCGATAGTAGTCTTACGGTGGCAGTGGACCTTTGACCGTACATATGGTGTACATCATGTGTATTACTTAATAATTAACAAATAATAAATTGAGGTTTTTGAGCACATCAAATCTAATATTTAATCAAAGTATATATTTGTGAACTCGATATTGATATCGTAAATATGATCTATTTAATTACCGAATTTTGGTCCAGGCAAATAAAAAGGTTTACATACCAAATATTGTCACCAAAAGCCCCTATGAATATAGAAAGTAGCGATCCCTTGTAGTTGGCCACTAGCGTCGGGAAGTAAGTGATCACGGAGAGCGCCTGCAGTTCCTCTTCTGTTCTACTGTCCAGTTCCGCAGCCACCTAGGCACAAATAAGTTTAACTTTTAGATGGATGTTACAAAAATAGTTCTTTTCAACCCCTTATTTTTGAAGCTGATTAATTAGTACACTAAAACCTTAAGTATAAGAAATATTTTCCTGAAAACCATATAAAAATCGGTTGAGCCAATCGCGACATAAACATAGTCAAATTAAAATCTACTTTTTTTAAATCCTTCAATTATGTTGGTCATGTTAAATGCACGGCTAATAGAAAAACCTTCCATTTTTGTTCCTATTTTGGCGCCTGCCAGAAGAAACAAAATAGGAAGATTTTAGAACCTGCTCGGTTTGAGGTCAGATCCGATTTACCACAGAACACTACCACAGGGAGAACAGCTACATTAATAACAATAATTACCTGAGCAAACCGTATGATAGGTTTAACGAGTGCTACTGCGGCGGCCATAGCGAGTCCGGCCCATAGACACCCGTCGGCCGCCATGGCTCGCTCGGCGCGCGCCACCACGTACCAACTTATGTCCACAGCTGATAACTCCGCGCGAAGGGTTGAACCACGCTCCCACATCGTACATTTTACTATAGAAAAAAAATAAGCACCATATCCACTGGATTTTCAATCTTAATGAAAAGCAATAAAGTTCCAAATGTTCAATTTGCAAGTTTCTATGTTAGACAGATATTCAGTAGCGGCCGTCTTGTAGCGAACATGATGATAATGATGTCACGATATCCTAACTATAAACCTACTTTAATCTGTTACACTCCAACGCAAATTCAACCTTATCACATCATAATTAAGATTGAAAAGCTATTGAAGGCTTGCGTTTGCTTAAAGCTTTGAAGATTAAAATATAAGTAAAAATGTATATTACATTGAGTCAGTGACATGTCAAAACAGTAGAACAAATACCTGTATCACTAGTCGGGTCGAGTATAGCGAAAGGGTCCCAGGAACTGTCAGCCGTATAAGAAAAACCAACATCTGAATGCCCGCCTTCCGACTGGGAACCGTAACTACTTTCCTCACCTGTCAATGCATGCAATACATATGAGAATATCATTTAATATGTACATGACTATAAGTATTATAACATGCTTCTGTTTCGCTGGATTTTATATATGTAGGTATGTATGTATTATTATAATGTATGGGCACCAAATTGTGCACTTTAATGTCGTGTCTGTTTTTGTAAGAATACGAATTATATGTAAGATATTTGATTAATTTACAGGAAATATATAACCAATGAGAATACGGATCGATTTACATTTTACATTTACAAAATCGAGCAAATCAGTAACAAATATGTGTACAAAATTAGTATTCATAAACATTGATAGTTAACATACATAATTGATGCTTACTGTTAGTAGTTTGGCCAACCCAATCAGACATGGTATGGTGGGATGGTAGGGCGATGGATGGAGCGGACGCCGAGCATTCCCCGTCTGATGACGATGACTGGTAATTGTCAAATTTCTACGAAAATTCATATATATTTTAAATCATTTGTCGAAAAATCATCGAATAAATTAAACACATATAAGTTACAGTCAATCTCAGTGACCTATCTGTCCGTAGATTTGGCTACTAGAGATCGATTTTTGACAAAAGCTATCGTAAAACAATTCAAAATTGTATCTCTTGTAGTCAAATCTACAGAGATACTTATTGAGACTGGCCAGTCAGCCCAATTATTTGATATGCAGGTAAAAAAACAAACATTAATTCAGTACAGAGACAGTAAACATTGGCCTGGCTGCTATGTTCGCTTAGCAGCCAAACAATGGTTACAACAGATATGGCTTCTTTAAGAACCATATTATTATAGCTACTGTCTCGCACTGAGCCAATCTTTATGTTCAAAAGGTTAAGTCTGCTTGTTTATTTGGTATATAGTATATACCAATTATTAATTTGGTATATAGTATAAATAAACAAGCAGACTTAAAGCAATCATCTCAATCTCAAATCTTTATTTTCTTACTATATACCAAATAAACAAGCAGACTTAAAGCAATCATCTCAATCTCAAAATTCATAATTAAAAACACATTCATCTTAAAATCATTTGGAAAACTTCACAATGAAAATTGTTACATTACATACAATATTTAGAGTCGTTATTAGTGTGTATTGTTAGAAACATGCTGCCAGCCTTAGAAGCCAATAACTACCTTTTTTCACGTGTTGTAAATTGCTTCCATCTATCACCTAATGTTAAAAGATTGGATAAGTTAATAAACATAAGTATGTTTAAGATTTTCACGAGATTAAAAATGGCGGCATGCAGAAAGAGAAAGAACTAAATAAAAATTACCTTTTCCTTCTTCTTATGGACGGTGAAATCTTCATCGCTCGTTTCTTGTAGACGTATGCCGTCTTGAGCCCAGGAGTTCCTGAATCGTACTCCGACTCGTTTGCCGGTACTAGGACTACTTGTAGCAGCAATACCATCAGAATCCGCATCAGACTTATTATCGACCTTCTTCATGTCTCCAGTCTCATCATTGTCTTTTATTACGTCTTCATTTTTAACAGTCTCAGTAGAAGTCTCAGTTGATTTATCAGGACTATTGTTCTCTTTAGGTTCGTTATTTTGTTCGTTAGCGTTAGTTCTCTTAGCTTCTCTTTGGATTAAGTTTTCAGTCTCATGTTTTACTCTTTCACCTTCGCTGCCGTTGGAATTGTACCCGTTCAGGCTTTCAAAGCCATCGTCTCCGTCGGCTAGGACTCTAGCTAGCATTTGTTGGTTCTGTCTCACGTTGAACGATTCTAGTTGTTTCTTAGTAAGCGCGTTATGTTTGTATCGGAAGGAGGTGCTAGGCGTAGCGTCCTCTGGCGGCGGCGTGAACGTCACGATAGGTGCCGTGGCATCAGGCTTCTTCCAAACCATATAGTCTTCATCATCCGAGTCTTTAGCCTTCATTTTCACTATTGTTTTATTTTTAACAGGCTCTAAATTTTTTATCAGATTCTCTTTTGTCAGCTCCTTTTTACGTTTTCTGAAAATTCAAAGATTATCTCTATATTTATTAGTACCTAAAATATTTAGAAAATAATTTAGAGATAAAATAATGAAATCAACGCCAACCTGAGACCATTTTCAGCGATTTCGGTGCGCGATTGTCTCCGTCGAAACTTTGCAGGTTTAGAAGTGGGCGTCTTGCTCTGACTCGAGGTGGCGCCACTTTCGGCTGAACCGCCACCGCTACCACCATCGCAATCTGATCTAGGTCGCCTATTCAGTGTAAAAACCATACATATGTATTAGTAAATACAATAGTCCGAAAATAACCTCTATCCCCACATAAATAAGGTCTAATTTACCTGAAATATCTCGGTAATTTGCGTCGGAATGTGGCCCGTGGCCTCACGCGAGCCAGTTCCATTTCAGTCGTACTAACTATCTGTGAGTGCACAATACTAAGCACCAACATCAAACCCAGAGGCACTAACCAACAGTTCGGCTGCAAACAAAATGTTTTATAAATAAACGTTGCACTGTGAAATAGTGTATCAAATGGACCAACTGGAATCATTTACACGTGTGATTTCCGGCAACGTAATTTTTAGTAATGAGTATGAAATTTTGTGCACAAGCTGTTGTATTCAATTTGAACTATTTTTAGTAGTAGGTATAGGTAAATTGAAATGTAAAATTGGGTAGTTGACAGGTTATGAAAAATAGAAAGTTTGTCGTTCGTCAGTTAGATAATGAAAAAATATTAGATTCGTATTTATTAACTTTGTCATACAAGAAAACAATACTTAGATAAAACAGATTTAAGTACGTTTAGGAGTGGGAGGTCGCTACGTCACACGTTCCTATAAAATGTAGCAACTCTTAACGTCACACGATATTTCAAATCAGATATGTCGTCGAAAGTAGAACTTTGAAAGAAAAGAAGAAATACGTGTAATGGTAATGGTTTAACATAATCTAGCAGATGGACATTTAAAAAACAATTAGAAAAGTAAGCTATCGTATTTATGAATATTACAACTAAATATGAGCCACAAAATGTATTTCTGATTTTTATTTCTTATCACAACTTACTAAACCATGACGCATTTCCATCGGAATGTATAAATAATGTTACATTACAATAGTTGTATTCCATAAAAAGCGCGGCGTGCACCTTAACAATATTATTATTGTACCTAGTTAATTTTAGAATCGACCCATTGTGTTTTCAATCCACATTACCATGTCAGTAGCTATTATAAGACTAATCATTCTGAATACAAGTGAAATTGAGCTTTAAAATAAGTACTTTAATGTTTAAAATGCAATGTAACTTACGTCATTGTCAATGGTCTCTGGTGTCATATAGTATATGGTGATGTTGAGGACTTGCATGAGCCAGAGAGTGAGGAGGAACTTGGCGCAGGCTGGTGAGGTTTGTTGCGTCCACCATTGGTACAGCACGGGTAGGAATAATAGTCGGACTAGAGCGTACCATATCACGCGACGCATACTCAATGTCGGCTTTGCTTTTGGGAATGATGACCCTGTGAACGAGATAATAAAATTGTCTACTTAGGTATAATAGGTATGATCCCCTATTTGCTAGAACTAGGGCAAAAGAAACTCACACTCTAGCATTAGCAATTCCTTTGATCTTACTACGGGAGACATTTTTCGTAGATGAAAGTTATGACAATATTTTATGGTAAAGAATACAAAACTGTTTTAGAACTTAGGTTCGAATAGGAATTGTAAACAATTTATTGGGTAGAAAGTTGCAGTTCACGTTCACACCTAATGTAGAGCACGGTGAAATTTTCACATCTTTACAGTACAGTGTCTAAACATAGACCGTTGGAACGCTGATTCAAACGAGACACAATGTATTTTCTATTATGCCTCTAACTGTAGTAAAGAAATTAAGGAATTTAACAATAACAAACAAATATAGTACCTCTAACTAAGTCAACATCGATGAGGTAGGAGCGCGCGTGTGATGAGAAGTCGACGATGCGCCGGCGGTAGGTGCCGCGCATCAGCAGCTGTTCCACCATCGTCTCCCATTCTTCCTTGTCGTACGAACTTATTTTTTTCTGATACCTGTTGACAAAACATATTTGAGTTCAACAAGTTCTATAAGTTAGGGGCCGACCTCAAGTAGCTTGGCCTTATGCCGTGACATGAAGAGGAAGGTTATCGTGTTCCTATATTAGTCAGTCTCACTCAATAACCTATCCGACGCTATGGAAGATTCAGAAGATAATCTTGATGATATCTTGTAGTTAAATCCATGGACAGTTATGTAAAATATTGTCTTGACACAAGTGAAACAAGTGAATTTATTTCTGCAAACAGGCTACAAGGCAGCACTTTTACACGTCAATTTTATCAAGCGAACGATGAGGTCGACATTTCCTAACTGACTACTCTGGAGAAGAAATGCCGAAATGGTAGATGTTCCGCCTACACGCACGACCCGCTTCGCTTCAAGCTTCCTTGTGCGTACTGCTAAAGAGTGGAATTCTTTGCCAGAGTCTGTATTTCCTGAAGGGTATAACCTGGGAGTCTTCAAGGCCCAAGTGAATAGGTTGCTTATGGGACGACGTGCTCCAACGTAGACCGCATCATCGCTTACCATCAGGTGAGATAGTGGTCAAACGTCGCCCCATCAATTATATAAAAAAAAAGAAACAAACTCAGAGGCCCGTCTCTTTTCTTGTCACGTTTCAACAATCGCATAATAAGTCATTGATAAAAATTGCAACTGTAAACGACATTGATAAGACAAAACATTCAAATAGACGGAACATTAATAAAACATTACGAGGATTTATAACTGAAGTGATAGACAAGATTATCTTCAATTAATCAGTTATAAACTTCCGTTACATAAATGACAAAACAAACAAACATGGCTGTTTAGATTGTAGGTACAATAACAATGATATCACGCATCACGAAGGTGGATATGCAACACCCACATTTCGCCCATTCAGTGTCATGTACAAAGGTGTTTTTTATTAGCACATGGGAAATATAAACTTTCCTATATCTTGCCTGCACGGGAATTAATTGCAAAATTATTTGCTCGTTAATCGCATTTTTTTTTGAGGTGGGGTGATCATTCAATTTCTTCTACCGTCCAGGTGAAGCGAGAGGAGGTGTCAGCCTCTTACTAACTAAAAACCACCCTGTTCCTACTCCTACACTTCGAGCTGGAGCCCCGGCAACCCGTTAAGTCCCATCTGTGGTGGTGTGATGGCTCGGTAATCGCATTTAAGACCATTCGACGTAAGATAAAATAAACAAAGTCAGAACATTTTGAAGGAATATTCACAGTGCACAGAAAGTAACATTTAAAATGATTATTTTAAACACCTAAAACATTGTCCGTACTTGACTCATCACATCACTATTTGATAACTAATCCACTTAACTACCTAATAAAAAATTCTAGGAACTGTTTGCAGCTTTTTATTAATACAATTATTTTTTGTAGGTATAAAGATAAATTGTATGTATGAGTAGGCAAAATATAAGGAAAAACGTGTCTTTTTGTATGTATACTAAATATAATTAGACTACAAATCTGAATCTCAAAAAACCCTATTGAAAAGTTGCTTGTGCTTTTATCAATGAGTTTGTTATAAATATATTTTCCTTTAATTTAAAATGAACAGGTTTTTACTGTGGTATAGGATGTATCCATACTTCATTCTTATCCATTGAGGAAACAGTTCTTAGCTGCTAGCTCAACAAGAAACAAAATTCTAGCAACAGTTAACTAATTTTTTTTATGGAATAAATTGGTAAATCACCGGACGGATTAACCGACTATTGATTTAATGAAATTTTAAAAATAAAAAATTATGTGGGCCACAGTTGAAAAGAGTAATAATTTGTAATACAACTTACCAAGCTGCTAGCTGCTTCATGATGAACAGAGAGAAAGGAGATTTCAAATATATTCAGTATATTTGTACTTGAACGCTGCAAAAAAACATTACGGACTATAATTTTTATATACAAATATTAACAATTATTTCCTAATTTGAATAGTTTGACCGCATGAATACATTTTGAGTATTCTTGTATAAATTTTAAAGGAGTGGAATAAATGCAATTGGAGAAAAACCTCTAACGGTCTAATAAGAATTGACAGTAAAATGACAAATTCAACATAAGTGATTTTTTCAGTCTCACAGTCATAAAACTTAAGACATGTAATTTCTTTTAGTGTTTTTTATAATAAATAGTATAATAAATCATGTTATTGATCAGTATCACGTGATTAGATTAATATAAGTAATGAGAAACAGTTACCTGTCTATATTGAACATTTGAACAGGTATTTATAATATTTAGACTTAAGGATAATGGGTGTTTTTAAATAAAATTATATTTAACATTTTTAAAATGGTAGGTATTAAGGAAAATTGTTTTTTTTTGTTGAAATGTGTTTTCCGAACATTTTAATATTAATTACACTAAATGTAGAATACAGGAACAAGAATCATGGAATTAATAAAAGCCTTGCAGACAGATGGCTTTCGCCAGTAAATCATTAATTTTGTTCAATTGATATACCTTAACTCGTCGAGTACCGGTTTTATAGACACAATTAAAGAACAATAGGTCGCGGTCACCGGTGACCGCTTGGTATTTGACAGATTAATGATATGGTGAATGAGATAGTATTTAATCATAATACCTTCAGTTTCATTAAAATACATTTACATAATTGATTACTAATGATACTTGTATATTTATTCAGATTGGATTGCTATTAGTCGGTTATTAAACTGTACTCACCATTTGTCTTTTGGGTAGCAGATTGTTGTAGGAAGATTTCAATGAAATCAAAACTCATGTGTATTTAAAGACCTGAAATCGTAATAATATTTCCATAACTGATAAGCTCTTCAATACTTCGAACAAAGAATGTTTGATCAGCTGTATGTCAACAAGTTACTTGTTATGAAATATCATTTTCGGAACAATATTTATAACTTCTATATGCACCTCCTAACAATAACAGACAATTATAAAGGTCACCTCCAAATTTATATAGACCGACAGCCCCGTTATGCGGCTCTTATATTCTACTATTTAAGCTATATTTTTAACTTACCGTTATATATTTTTTGCGCTACATTTTCAGTAATTTAATTATTAACAGCTGGTGTCGTAAACAAATTTCGAAAAATTCTGGAGTAAACTGATTTCAATTCACAATTCACTTCACTCACATGAATAGCATATTTACTTATTTATTTAATTCATTAAATAAACGATTGACTGAATTTACGAAACTACAGCGACAAATCTTGGCATTTGCAGTTTTATGGTAGTTTTGACATTTGACACTTTCTTTGACACTCTATAACTATGTTGCCAATGCAAGAAATATAATTGAACGAAGTCTAAAAAATATTCTCTTTTTTATGTTAGGTATCCTGTCGTTTCTTTAAAAAAAGTTTTCTTTATTCCTATAACTAGATATGATGGCACAGCCAATTCGTCAACACTGTTCAAGTGTATAAGCCTTCCTTCCCGAATTCTCAGTAGGTAGTTATTTTCAGCTTAAAGATGTCAATTACGTTTTTTTCTTTAGTAATCAAAATAGTTGCCTGAATAAAGTGTATTATTATTATTAACCATTTATTAAAATGTTTGTGAGCTAGTTGCTTTTCTGTATTGCCATTATAATGAGATTCTAATTCGTATCGTCTTACGCTAGATGGAGCTTTCGTTTATCTTGGATTGTAGTCTTCATACGATAGAAGCTGCACGATTCATGGGTCTCTGTTACATTATAAAGTCTTAAGGTATATTAGTTTTATAAATATACTTACCTCACATTACATACAATTTTAAAGCGTTCAGCGATTCTATTCTAGGTTCAAGCAATGTGGGTAGATAGTCCAGGATTTAGATATTCGAAATTCTCGGTGTTAGCACTGAGTCTGTGACTAATTTGAGCATAACTTTTACCGTAAACAGGCACGATACGAAACTTTTTAATCACTATTAAGTAGCATGATAATTTATTTATTGACGACAACTTTCAATAAATAATACTCAAAGCACACTTCAGAATGTTAGCGAGAAAAAATCTACAGCTACCTAAGGTATGGTGTTGTTACGTTTAATGATATTAACAAAAAAAATAACCATGAACAAAAATATATTCATCTTTATTAATTTAACAATTATAAAAGTATTCTAGATTACATTAACAAATAGGTATTTTCGTTGTCTTTATGACATTATTTAGGCATAAACTTATGTATTAATTTTGTTAATTTATTATTTACACTTTTGCTGACTTAACTGTCTACAATAAAGATAAGTAAGTGCCCATTGGTCTGTCGGCACACAGATAAAATAGTACAATGTATTTTCTTAAATGAAAGGAGTGGTTATAACTTTGTGCTAATAACCTACTTACAAGTGTATTTCTTTCTTGTGCATTCGATGTCTGCGGAAAATTACCGAATTTTAGAATTGATTAACACTGTAAGAAGTATAGGTACAGAACTTACTCTATATAATTGTCTTATAAGAATATAGATATTTATGTAAGTAGGTAGATACTTATTTAATCTTTATATTTAAAAAAAATCACAGGTAGTAAATATCGATATACATTAACCAACAGACACACTAATTTTCAAGATAACATAACATAACATAACATCACGCCTTTTATCCCCGAAGGGGTAGGCAGTAACAGTAGGCACATAGAAGTAACACCCACTTTTCACTATTTATGTTATGAGTCCCATGTAATAGGGGGTGAGCCTATTGCCATATGCCGGGCACATTTCCAGACTCCGTGCTACTACTGAGATTTTTAAAAAACCCCAGTAATACTTTGCCCGACCCGGGAATCGAACCCGAGACCCCTTGCCCGGCAGTCGCACTTGCGACCACTCGGCCAATGAGGCAGCCAATTTTCAAGATCTAAATAGGAAAAAACCGTTAATTCGAATTTAGAGTTCAAAGTACCTACCTACCAACCACCTATTCCTTTTTCGCTTTAGATTATCGTAAGTGCTGTACCTACTGTTTCTGAAGGCCTTCTCGTTCGATAGGGCTCGGATACCTAAGCAACTTGTAACTAGATATTACGTATCACTAAAGGCCTATAACAGTCGAGGTAAAGATTCCACTTCTACTAAACTACATGTAGTGTATCTACATTACACTACTGTGGAAACTTATGTTGAAATATACATTATGTTGTATAAATGTAACAGTTTTAATTACATTAATATACAATTTAAATACGGTATGAGATTCAAAAAAATGTTGCCAAAGATACAGACATACATTTTGCAATGAATATGCAAATCATATCGAATTTATTAGACTAGAAAACTATTATACAATCTACTTTGGTTTAAATCTGTCTAAACATAGTTGTTATTTCTGCATAATCTACTTAAAGCATAATACAAATTGCTTAGTTCTTATTTAAATAAATTCTAGTTATAAAAAATCTGACAATAAGTTTATTTCATTTTATTGCTTCAGTGACGAGACCTAATTTGGTGTTTAGGTACACGTTTTTTCTACGAGACATGCTTTTATGATTTCTTTTCATATACGATATAGCTAAGTATAAGGTTTCAGCAGGGAGTAAAAGGTACATATTTACAGGGTTGAAAGCACCACTACAAACTTACAGTACCTAGATATATTAAATATAGATTAATTATCTTTTATTTTGTACTTGTCAGACTTGGAATGGTGAACCAGGTGCATTAAATTATGTGTTTAAAGTTCAGTGGTTAGTTCGTCTTGTGGTCGCCTAGACATCTCGAAGAATTCGTCTTCTAACCATACACTCTCTCTTCTTACAATCGGTCTTCTCTCCCATGGGTCGGAGAGGACAATGGTCTCTCGTTCTCTCTCTACTTGGGAATAGCTGGGTGGTCTTCCAGCGTCACTCCATTCGCAGTCTATGTCCTTGTCTAAAATATTACTATCATATGATGTAGGAGAATACGAAGGTGGTTTGAATGTCGAAAAAGATTGCTGAGTTGTCTCCGAGTCGGAGCCCTGGCTCGGTGGGGCGGGGAGGAAATTAACTAGCTGGCCTTCTTGTTGCGGACCGACGTTTGTGCGGCTGTAGCGTTTCAGAATTCTGGAACAAAAATATTTAAATAGGAAAAAAGAACACGAGACTTAGACGGACTATTATAAGAAAAAAAAACAAAAATTACCTTTCAGCCCAACTAGCCAATCGTGGCCACTCATCCGGCACAACAGGCACCTGCTGCTTGTTCAACAATATCAGCAACTTGGCCAAATCGCTCAGGATGCAACTGTAACAGAAGCTATTATTAGAACCTACTATCTCGAATTTCTAACATGAATAATATTGCAGCGTTGAGGCACTGTTTGGAATGTGTTTTTTGTAGGTGAAGTTGGTAGCTCTGTCAACAGAGCCGCTTGCTGCTCGCTATGTTATTAGAACACTGTTGCAAGTCTTGTAACCTCTTTATAGGTAAGTACTCTTCGTACCTTTACCTGTTTTAACTAGCAACATTGCAGCATTGATAACGTTCCAGAAAAAATGCAGCACAGAAATGTTCCCACGCAGATCTTTGTTTATGTTATGCTTATCGACTGTGCAACTGGAAGTTACGGATAGAAATGATCTCTATTTTTAGACTGTAGTTCTTGGTATAAGACAAATGATATTAATATTTCAATTGGATATACTCCAGATTTGCAGAAGGTGCGTTCAGGTATCTAATATTTTTCTATAAACGTTATAAATAACTCCTATTTTCTGGAAGTAGGTTTTTAAGTACCTACAGATATAATTTTACGGATTTAAAAACAATTTATTTTCTACGGGAATGGGATTTGCGACACATTATGTGGCTACCAATCACCACTTCTGCATCGATACGATAGTGTAGTTAGAGAAGTACATTACATACCTACAGCGTTTCTGTTTGACGTAAAAGTTCCAGAGATGCAATAAAACTGATAAGAGTAATTATACCTGTAAGCCATTGCAGCATCATTGTTGCCAAGCTGATAAAGCTCGCGCACTTGATGCCGTGTGTGGTTCAGTATCGCCAACAAGGTGTACGCGTGTGGCTGAAATTAGAAGTAGAATTCATGTTATATTTTACTATCATGAAATTTTTAAACAATAAATTATAACTTGAAATAAAAATCATCATCAGACCATAAACACAACAGCGTGTTAATAATCCATAATCTCACTAATATTATAAATGAAACGTTTCTTTGTTTGGATGTGTGTCCGTCAATCACGCTGAAACTACTGATTGGATGGTATACAGGCGGGGTATGGGGTATATTAGGTGATCCGATTAATCCCATGGGATAAAACAGAAATACGCGGGCAAAGCCGCGGTAAAAGTTAGCAACTAATAATTGACATTCTGCCCGTTATTTATAAGGTTTTGGTTTTGGCCGTCTAAACAGTTTAGAAGAGTAATATTTCGTTAAAATGTACCTACAAATTGTGTTCCACACACCTAGGTACACTAAAAAATTATACATATTTGTACGAGACTGATTTTCCAATACTTTCCCTTCATGTACGTCGTGAGAGTAACATTCCATAATGCATTTGTAATTCTCATCTAGATCAAATGATGAAATAATATAGAAGAAATGTAGGCTCTCAAGACAACGCGCGATCAAAATGTGGGTGTTCATGTCGATAAATCTCGCGATTTCTTAACACAGTACATTATCTTTTTATCTAATGATTGCTTCTGTAACTGTCATAACGATTATGTAATTCGATAATTCGGAAGTCCATATCCAATTTCGGATCATCGTTTCGTAACAGATTACTGCAATCTGTAGCTTATTATTGCTTAATAATTAATTTGTATTAAATATCAACTTTTATACCACATTGAACTGTTTTCGAAGTATTTGTAAATAAGGAGTTTCGTTTAACTTTTTATGTAGACAACATAAAAATTAAATAAAAAAAGTTTAATTTTTATTTGCTTTACATATCATCAGCGTGTGGAGGTGTGGTGAGTGATATTTAAGTACCTACCTAGACACAACAATTTTAGTTTGATAGTAAGTTTTGGTTTAAGATCAAAATGCTAAGGTTGACTGGTAGAGAATGCCATATGGCATTAAGTTCGCCTTATGTACCATAAACAAATTATGTACATTAAAGAATAAATAAATAAATAAAAATGCGATAACAATTTAGAATTTAATTTCATGAGATAAAAATAAATGTAAAATAGATTGAATCAAAAGCTCTAGATTTCGTTACAACTTTAGAAAAGCAATTATGCTGGAGTTATTTGTGTAAACTACTTTTTAATTGGTCCAGATGAGTTTAACATAACGACAGTGATTTATATTCAAATATCAAACCACGTTACAAAGTTGTTCTCACTTTTATAATCTTGTTTTTAAATGAGATTTACTTTTTTCAATCCCTCGATTATAATATTTATACATTTATTTGAGTTATTTCGAAATGAGGCCTCTACGGTTCTACCGTGGGTTTATTTTGGTTTGAATTTAATTAACTAAACTTGATGTAAGTACCTTATCTAGTTCCATCATTAGAAAAAGAACTTTATTTTTTGAGATGCATAGTCTACTTTTAATTATGGATTAACTTACTCGTAAGCAGTCCAGTTGCTTGTGGAATTCCCGGAGTCGAGTGTCGTCGTCGTGGTGAGTTCGTTGCGGTAATGGTTGAGGTTGTGCTCGCGACTTAGTCCTACAGCGAGCATAGGCTGCTGCGGCTGCCACGAGAGCAATGCAAGCAGCCACGCCGCAAGCAGCGCCCACTATCACCTGGTAAATAAAAAAAGATAAAGATCTGATGAAAAAAAAAGAAATGGAAAAAATGGATGTAGATTCGACCAGCCACTAGTCGACAGAGGCTTTCTCTTCCAGGAAGGAAATGAGCAAATGCAGAGGAATGTCATACAAACTATTTAGTTTCGCAATAACTCAGGAAATAATACCATATTAAATTTTGACAACTTTATTAAGGTCTCCAATACATTTCGGTTTAGTCGAAAATCGTGCTCACGACAACGGCATAATACAAGCTTAGCATGTCGACACCAATTGTCTAGTTGATCCCTCACATCAACAATTTGCCAATAGCTCGGTCGGGACCTTTCAAGTATTAAAGTAGTTGGCAGGAGTCGAGGTCAAACTACGTGCATGTAAGTACCTAAGGGTTGCAAAATTTATGGGAACCGAATGAACTCGAATTTTCCTAGAACATTTTGTGAGTATAACATAAATAGTGAAAAGTGGGTGTTACATTGTACAGTGGCATAATGTAAGTAGGTACTCCTCTGCCTACCCCTTCGGGGACAAAAGGCGTGTTATAATGTTATGTATGTTATGTGTCATTTTGTGAGTTTAGTGTGAAATTGGCTGAGAATAAGAAACAAGTTTAATTATTTATTGATCTCCTTTTTATACGTTTGCATTAGGTATTGTAATGCCAATGAGTATTTTAAGGACAAAGTAATTTTACGAAATGCTAAAAGTAAAAGTAACGTAAAAATATGATGCAATTTCCTCAGTAACTAGTCTAGTAAAAGAAATAAGGTGTTGATCTTATATTATGTACAAGTTAGTTACGTTCAATTGACGCTACTGGCCGTAATAGCACCTGCTACTACAATAGATTCATTTAATATTTATATTCATTGTGAAGTTACGTGTTTCTATGCTAGGGTTCCTTTGTACGTTGTTGACTGCAAAGCTGTCCTTTTAAGTCAAGACCCTACTAACCCTATCAATTAATTATACGTCATGCGACTAATGCTTTTGTTCATTCGTGAAAAACAATCCATTTTCTTTTTTATTTTATAATCTACGGTACTTTTTAAGATATATAGTCCATGTTATTCGTCCATATTAGGTATTTTAATCGATAATGTGAAAGCAACAGTAAAAACCGTAAAAGAACTGAAACAATATTTCCAACTTACCATTAAAAATAATGTTAAAAATAATTGTTCCAATTTACTGATACCATCAAAGTTCTGATGTTCGATGCTTCACAGCTACAAAATATAGTACATACATCGCTTGGATGATAATAATTTTATATGATTACGTTGTGTGTATCTTCCATACGGACCACATCTGTAGCGCGCATTAAAGCTGTTGCATCATAGTGTTTTAATCTGTGAGGCGTTGAACTTTGATTTTGTATTGGCATTTGATTGAGTAGACTAATGCTTTGATGTATGATGTTCATCATTAAAGTCAGATAATATAATAATTTTATATCTACAAGTATTATATTAATAGTTATTTTGACTTGCACTTAAAACAAATATTGGTAATGTATGGCAATGTGTTTTATTGTTTTGGAATGCCACAGGGCAACAGTTTAGGTTCCATCATATTAACTTGCTTATTTATGTAGCTTGTATTTAAATTGTGAGTAGTATAAGGTTATTTAGCTTTAAATTGCTATTCATAGCTCTGTGATTCAGTTGTTGGATTCTATAAAGAAAAACTTACCTCGTTATATGATTGCGCAGGATAGCACACTCGTCCCATGAGGTGGTCATCATGGGCCCATGCTTCACGGCTGCCAGCAGGACAGTCATGTGCACAGGTGCCTCCAGGCCAAACCAGCAGGCGAGCGCACTTGACGCATCCATCAGCGGCGCAGCGAACGCATTCCGTACCACAGCCTAGGAAAAACACAACAATGAGTGATTTTTACATGGCACCTCTTAAATATGAATCGAGCTGCTACAAAACAATATCATCAACAACATCAAAACAATATCATATACTAGAACCATATTACAGTTTAATATAATTAGTTATGTACATACAACTTATCGCCTGTTACTTCTTGTATGATATAAGACATGGTTCTTCGGTCTAGGATCCAGCCAAATTTATTTCTTAGTTAACTACATACATTAAGTTTTGGCTCAGAATGTTGCTGTATATAAATGAATATTGTAATATCAAAAAACTACATTTCGGAGCAACAAAGAACCTTTTACTACAGACTACAGAGGCAACAGCGTACAAAAAGTCAGCGACGTTAGCATACTTTGTGTGCCAGATTTTTTGCCCGTCGTCGTATGCTTTTACTAGAAAGCCTATTTTGATGAAATAAAATAACTAAGTATTTGCTAATAAAAGTATTGTTAGAATAATGAAAAACAAGTCTCCCGTGTAGCTGTTAATTTTTTGTACTATAGGTACAGAGAAACAAAAAAATATAAAATTTTGCACGGTCGCAGCATGTAGATTGGCTACCTATCGAGTAAGCAAGTAATCTCGATTTTTTTCCAGATTGAACAGCGAACCTTACTTTATGACGAGTGCAATTTGCATTTAACTTAGGTTTAAAACATTTTTACAAGTATAAGAACTTAGCGAGATTGAGTATTCGACTTATTTTTTTAGAGTAGTCTCAAAGTTAGCAAAGAAAACTTTATCTAAGAGATGAAGTTTATTGAAAGAAATTTTGTAGGTAGGAAAGTTTTTCCGGCAGCTATTATTGAAACAGGTAATTTCAGTGGTCGGAAAATCATACCAGACGAAGATGCTATGCTAGTATGTATATAAGATAGAAAAATGAGAGACGTATTATTTTCCTTTGAGCATTTATATAGCTTTCTGAACTATTTGAAGCTTAATTAATTTGTATCCTGTATTTACATACCTATTGATGTAAGTACATTATATGTATCTTCTTAACTTTAATATTAAATAAAATTAGTATCTCAGGATTTAATTATCGCCTACACTACATTGATTTCGACTCGTTAATCAATCATACATTTCAAAAGTGCTTTTAATTTCTGGATGCTTCGATACAAAGGTATTTTTTATGCACCATCGACCTACGTAACTCAAAGCTACGACTGGAATATTTCGAATATCTATGCTAATAAATGGTACCATGTTTGGGCGTAATGTATTCATGACGATGCACGGTCGTTCGACTGCTCCATACAAATGGAGACTGGTGAATGTAAAAATTTCACCTCTCCTGCATCACCATAAAAAGTCATTAATGTTTATAATTTATGTCTCTAGCGGGTCAAATAACAGCAGTGACCGAATAAGCTAAAATCGACCGGTGTATACGGAACTTATGTAAGAAAATATTATTATTTTTGGTTACGTTGGAAAAGTAGGACATAAACGCATAAATCTGCATATTAAAGTAAGTTTACGAGCGGGTTACTTATAACATGGCGGAACATTAAAAAGTTTACCGCTTGCTTTGAAACAAATGAAACAAAGCTCGTCAGCGTCTAAATGTCAAGCTCTAAAGCTCGCTCTTGGCATAAAGTTTAGAGCCTTACTGCTTACTGGTAACATTATACGAAAGTAACTTACGGTACGGGTTCACTTAATTTGCCGTTTCTGAAGCAATGACTTTGAAAACCAATTTATATTCAACTTCAGTGATTTGGATCGTATTTCAATACTTTCCAAAGGGAAAGCGCGCGCAATATGCGATTAGTGCGCTGTTCAATTAACGGGACCGACCGGACGAGTAGACACATTACTGTGTTTTGTTTACTCTACGTTCAGCATTACGTGCATAATGCGACTCCTGTGCACTGCCCACTGCGCTGCATGATAGCCAATTTCTGAATATCGACATTTTAGTGAACATACCTAATCAATTATCTCCTATCCGTCTGCAGTTTGAAAGCTTCGCGTTGTTGATACCTATATGAAGATATTTGGTGGTAGAGTGGGCTTTTTGATTGTGTCTATAAAGTGACGCTGATGTTCTATATTCAAATGTTATTACCATTTTATTTGTTTACACTATATACAAACATATTACTTAATGGTTTGAAAAGAGTACTTCGGTATTGTGAGTGGGACTCAGTGGGAGGTTGTAGGATCTAAGAACTGACGCGGTTATTGTGAAAGCAGTATTGGAAATTAATCAAAAAATATGTACGGTACAGCTGTGGCAGTCGAATGACTGTTTGTATGACTGTCGCGTGAATACGTGTGTGATGAAATACTATTGATTTCAACTATGAAACTGTATATTATTAAAGGTACTAGTTGGACCTTTACTAAAAAAACCTATCTATATTTTAATGAAACAGATGGTTTTAGTGTTTAAGTTCTATCTCAATAGGTCCTAAGGAGTATATTGTAGTATCGTTGTATAGGTATAGTATAAGTTATAGAGCCGGTAAGTATTCGGTTTAAAAGGATGCCTGGAGTCCTGATTTTGGCGAGGCTTTTCGATTTATAACCGAAAATTATATGTTTCGCTCAGAACAGCTATAGTCGCGATGCGCGGATTAATGGACATTTCGTAGAAATCCATTTATACACAAAAATCTTCATATATAAAATTTCAATCTTTTTTATTATGACGCTTTTTCGAACTCATTATGTAGTTATTTATTTCAGTACAGAGAAATATCTGCATTTCTTTTCATTAAAATACGATAAACTTTAAAGATAAAAAATCTGCGCTGATTGGTTGGAAATGATCAACTACATGTGTAATAAATTAGCATGAAATATATGCGAACGTTGATATTGTTTGTATGATTGTGTAAACATAGCGCAGAAAGAAGAAATTGGAAATCTTGTTAGATACATTTCTTGCAATGTTATAGTTCCCATCGACTGACATCACAATGTTTGGAAAGTTCACTATTAATTGATAAATGTCTTCCATAAATTGTTGTGACGTCATTTTTGCTTCAATCAGCACCAATTGACTAGTTAGTGTGAGAATTGTTCGAAGTGAGATCTTCCGCGAGAAATAAAAGAAATGTTCAGTTGACAAATGGTGATATACTATTCCATAGGTATGCACTATGCATGCTTCTATGACACATAGTGTTTTACTAATAACATTATATGACCCTGGTAGTAGAACACAGTGATGTCCTGATGTCCTTACATTTGAATAAGCTTAGTTTACATTTGTATTTTGTAATAGGTGCTGATTTTATCACTTGACACTTCGCACAATTCAAGATCCCCTGCTAGTGAGTAGAGTACTTGTTTAAGAATAAACAAAATCCAAAATATTTTTTCTGACTTTGGATTCAAACTTCTAGAATCAAATGCCCATACACTAGCAATTACGGTTTAGGGATCATTCGACTAAAAAGACTTTTGATTGCGTGTGTAATTAATGTATATTTAGCAAATCAATTACCGAAGAAGAAAAAATATTTGATTGAATAAAAAAAGTGCTGAAAAAAGCTTTCGCTTCTACATCGCGTGAGCTAAAATCGTGACAAGTCTACTTCGTATGAAAGGTGTTAATTCCTCATGTTTAGCACGACAATTAAGGTAAGTAGGTTCATATCCAAGCGATGTATTGATAATAATTTATAATTTGTTGGAGAAACTCTGCGTTTATGGTCAAGTCATCGTGTTTTTAATTACTTATGTTTCGATAACTGGCACTTTAGGACATGTCCGATTTCCAATTAATGTAGCTACGTGAGTTTTATTGATTGATAGTTTAAGTTTATAGATTTAATAATTAAGTGTGATTGTAATAAATAGGTACTGTTAAGAAATTTTGCAAATGTGCACTTCTATTAACCCCTTTGGAAATCAAAAGGAGTAACACAAGGTCATGGACATTTTAATTTATCAATGACGATATAAACATTAGATTTATTTTCTATCACAATTATAGTTTAATGTTCATTGTGGGCAACCTAACATTCGACAAATCAATGTTTAGTAACTGTGTCCAGGGATTGAGCCACACAATTATGTTTGTTTTTTTGTATAGGACTTTTTCGGGATAAAAAGCACTCAGTGTTGTGCCCAAGATATTAAAGTATATCTACACCAAGTTACATAGTAATTGAATCGTTAGTTTTTGCGTGATGCGTGAACATACAGACAGACAGACAGACAAAAATTGTTTTACATATTTTTGGGTTCGGTGTCTAACACCTCCAATATATTTTTTTTTTCATATTTTCAATTTCCAAAATTTACACTTTAGTTTTAATTTAAGTAGATAAGTATAGATTTTCTCGTTTTTCTAAAACGATGACCCGTAGCAATACTTAATCACCAAGCTCATTGTTAAGAAATACACCCACTTTAAATTATAGTGAATCGTTACTAAGTAGTTTAGGTTAATTAATCTTGAAGTGATTAATGATAACAAGGGTTAGTCCTTAGTTCATATTTCATTTCGCCATTATACAGGTCTCAACGATGAATGTCTAGAAATTCGATGCTGATGGACGTGCAAATTAATCTCGGACAAAATAGAGTTGGTATTTCTATACCTAGTACTTTTTTATGTTTCGTATGGTATCAGTATAGTGCCTTGAACTTTAGATATGTTATGGCAAGTAAAATTTATGTTGTTTTATTAGAGTTGAGTTGAGTTAAGATATTCCGTCAATAAAATTTGTTCATGTATTCGTAACTTCGTAACTTCATGAAAGACATTTTTTATTTTTGCAAAGTATTATTGAAGATTTTTTTTTATTATGTAAGCTATTGCAATTATGTTTGTCATGGATCTCCTAGAAAGTTCTGATTCTTGATGGATTTGTCTTTGTCATCATAATTTTTTTTTTGTAATTTTGTAAACCTTTCAATATTTGTTAACTTATCTGTATTTTTGGTTAAGTTTGACAAGCTCCATACAAAATCTGGATACTTCTATCTGTAGTAGATTAATTCGATTCTGTAGTAGATTATTAGATTAATAGGTCGACAATTTTAAGATAATGCGATCGGTCCTTACATACTAAACACTACTCCTGTACTCCTATTGATTCTTAAAGAATGGTAGTAGTCCAGGACTCACTCACGTGTGTCGTTGATGGCAGGGGGCGCGTCAGCCGGCCGCAGCTGCGCCGCCGCTGAGCTCGCCGTCACCAGCACCGCCATCGCCACCAGTGCCGCGCACGTCATCGCACACCGCTACTCATCCTGACTTCACTATGGAACAAAGAGTATCCTGTTATTGTATATGGAAATTGCTTGTCCTATAGTGCCAGCAGAGTAAAATTCATTGTCATCATTAAAATGTACTAAGGGTTCTTTGATAAACCTGCACCTTTTAAACTGCGTTCTCTTAATTTGTAATGTGTAATACAAATTAGGAGAGCGCAGTTCATGTGTGAAAAGAGGCCTTTGAGACAGTTAAGTATAATCTGATGATAATGCTATTGATAAACAGATTCAAAAATACCACACATCGGCTATAAATCACTGAAATTACACCACATAAAAGAACTCAGTAGACCACAGATATACTAAAGAATATTTCTGTGAAGTAGACACAAAAACAGTTTCTATTTACCTCTACAAATAAGAAGTCGATAAGAATTATGTGTGAATTTCGTAGCTAAGTAATTACGTCCTATATAAGTAGTAAGAAGTAGTAAGGCGTTTGTATTGACGCCTACGTGCAATGTATTTACATTTTCCCAACGTCAACGTGCACAACTTTCACAGAATGACAAGCGGCTATGTTGTGTTGACTGTGTTCAGTTAGTTATATACATAGCAGCCATTTAATAGAATGCAACGGTTAGGTATCAAGTCAACAAGGTAAGTAACGGCCTTCGAATAGCCAATGAAATCTACATAAATTGTTATTATGTGAAAATTATGGTTATATATACGAACTTATGTATCATTAGAGCAAATAAAATTATGTCATCTGTACATTATGTCCAAAAGATTATACGAAAGAAATGGAAATTGTGAGAGATGTTATTCGCAAAAATAACGTATAGAATGTGATATTGTATCAATATTCCATTTCTTGTAGCCACTAATGAGATTAAAAGAAAGAAAATAATGTTGATGATCTCTTCAGTATTAATTATCTGTAATACATTAAGCCGTGATTGTCGATTAATTATTTATAAATAACGTTATATGGTTGTTGGGTTCGCATACATAACCAATATTTGTACGATTCCGTGATGTTTCGCTTCTACGAGCGTAAAAATTATACTTATTAATGCACTCATGGTACACTAATTATATTGTTTGATTGGTTTCGTTCATTTAGTTTTAGAAAATTTAGTTATTATTTCGAAATTGTTATACAACTAGCGACCAGCCCCGGCTTCGCACGGGTGCAATACTTATGTAAAAATAATTACTATATTACACATAATTATACATATAAACTTTTCTAAAGAATCACTCTATCAATTAAAAAACCGCATCATAATAATCTGTGGCGTAGTTCTCAAGATCTAAGCATACATAGGGACAGACAAACGGCGAAGAGCGACTTTGTTTTATACTATGTAATAATAATGATGATACAAACCAACAAACCGCTTTACAAGGAGAACTTTAACAAGGGCTGAAAATCGGTAAGATTATTAATTATTAATGGAATATTTTATTCAGTTAATATAGTGTTGACACATAAAATATTTGAAATATTTCTATTATCGTTGTTATGTGTGGGTATAGGAAAATTTTGCCCATAAATTTTACAGGAACATTTTGGTAGAGTGATATTAAATATTGAAATCACTTTGAAATATGACTATTTAATTATCAAAGTATATACCTATTGTATTTTATTCGCACACTACTGACTTGATGGAAAATGTTACATAGAACACTGTATTTGTTAATAGTCTCATTGTAACATTTGTTTTAGAGAATAGACGTCACTAATACTTACTTCGGAGAAGTGATAGAGTACCTAGAAGCTTTGTAACCAGCTTATTAACTTCACTATAACTGTTTAAATGACATCACCTTTGTGAGAAACACGCAACGTTACTTGAATTTGAATATTCTGCGTTTATGTGTAACTTAAAACCACATATATAGTGTCTTTGTTATGACATGGCTCGTTATGTCTAAAACAAACGTAAAAAAGACAGTTAAGTCGTAATCGTAACTTTGAAATCATCAAACGAGAAATGTTCCTTAATGTGCAATTTGCGTTTAATACGAGTAATTCACTGAATGGATTCCGCTCACGCAAATCCGCGTATAAACTTTCACTATGACGATGATGTATTAAATATGTAATGTTCGCAATGACTATCATCTATAGCAATCATTATCCGTAACTGGTTTTAGATAGCTCTCTTTAGAACACACGATCTTCAACTGAACCTCAGAAATGAGTAATGTATTTTTAGACCGTCCATCGATGTAGTAGTGATGAAATCAATTCATTCTTTCATTTAAATCGAGTAACAATATGATATTGTAATCTTAATTTCGATTAGTAATCAATAGATACTCTATTGTGTTGTTTGTCAATACGAAACGTAAACATAATTGTTTAGAAAAGCATTTGGAGTACACGTAGTTAGGCACTGTCATGCTACTTACGAACAACCACTATTGGAAAATGATGACATCGCTCATAAAATATAGATGTTCAATTACGAACCCAGGTGTTCTTTTCAAAGAGTTTGATCACGTGTAGTAAAACAAATTACCTAGAGAACACGATTTATATCTTAGTACTGGTGCTCAACAACTTCAACAAGACGTTAATCACCCTGCAAATCGAATTAGGAATTGATCGGCGAATCTACGCATAATTTATTATATTGGTTAACAAACATTAACTTTCAAATATGTCTGTAAACGGTTTAATTTTCATGCCCACATTATTTACATATCAAAATATAAACCTAAAGACATATTCATCAAGATAAATGAGTGCATTCACATTTTGCAAACGATAGTCAGGAAACAAGAACAAGTTTTTATTCCATATACAGACATATTGTACGTTTAATAATAACGAAATCCTTATTACGACGCGTTGGTCCAAGACTGGTGAGTCACGTAGTATTATTACAAGCTGGCTAATGTCCTGTTGTACAAAAAATCCGTGCCTTAATTAAATCGTTTGGTCATGTGGGATGTGGGTCAGACGGTCCCGTCCGACTGTCTCAGCGTAACAGTACGACGAGTTTGCAAATCAGTTGACATTGGCATTCGATACCCGCTTCTGAATTCTGATCGAGGCCCCGCCCTCAAGCCACGTGTTCGCAATATTTATGTGCAGCATGCTAATTTTATATCTATTAAATTAGGTTTTATTAACGAATCGAAGTTGTATGTCCCTCACACGATGAAGTCATTTCGATATGCATCGATGTATCGGTCAGTTATAAATCAACAGCTTTCTAATTTGATTGGGCAGATCAGTATGCCTGAATGTTTGATAAGGCTTTGGTAATAAATAGCTGAGTGGCATTAACTCGATCAATCATGGATTTTAGTTCGGCGATTGTTGAGACTGGGGAGCTCAACAATTTCTAACCGGAAATGCACGATCGATTCAGTGTGACGTAGGTTATCTATTTATATTGATGTTTCCTCATCAGTTATGGAAGATGTTATAGAGATCTGATGCTAAGTGTTATGGAAACTTAGTCGCTTACACGAAGTAGTAGAGAACTGCCACAACTTAGTCACAATCATCATATCAAATAAGAAGAAATAACAGAAACAGTGGTAGAGTTTTATAAAAAAACAAGTTAGACATGATACTGCCTCGTTGGTTCTTAACAAAAAAAAAAGAAAAAAACGCCTAAGTTCGTCCTAAGTTTAGTCTTCTTCGAAACGGCCGACTCACCTCGAACAATCCAAAATAATAATTTCAGGGTTATCGCTATTTCAGGTAAGGTGAAGGAAGGTTAAAGAATTGATGTAACTTTTGTACGAAACTCCGAAGTAAGTCACGATCGCGTGCCAGCCTTTCTTATAATTGTAGTGCGTGCAAAAAGTACGTATAATGTACAGACAACACAATAACTTACTCCTTTCTGTCAGATTTCTTGATTCGATTTTCGAATTTATATATCGAAACAATAAAGTTGAAAATGTAACAAAGGAATTTGATAGATCGGAGTAGGCTTATCTGCTGCTCACTATACCTACGTGTAAATGAACTGACAAAGAGTTAGTGAACTTACATCGAAATGGCAGACCACACGTGTAGTTTATAGTAACAATAAATCCCGAAATAGGTCTTGGATTTTTGTATATTGTTTCAGTAGCCATATGGTGCTATCATTATCATCTGTCCTAGATATTTTATGTTAGTGTTTTAGCATTTACTGTAAGTAGCTCGTATTTTGGCTAAATGAGGACAAAATTTCTGATAAAAAATGATTTATATTATAAGATATTTTATAAGTATGTTAATGAAATAATGCTAATGATTTGTATAACTGCTACTTAGTATGAAACGAAAACCTGCATAGTTAATCTTTGCTCGTTAATCTTAGCAATTTACTTTTATTAATACGTGAAGAGAAAATCTCTTTGCGTTTAAAATTGTCTGAAAATTGAGGTTTATTGATGAGTGGAATTTATTATTATAATATTAAATGCACTGCTTGAATTGCCTTTGGCGACTATGAATTACTTTCCTAGCACTAACATACTTTCCAATACCAAAGTACAAACAAGTAATTTAGTTTTACACTTGTATCGTGACTCTATTTTAATACTAATTAACGACTGACAACTTAATCGTGAAGTAAATAAGAGCTATAATCATAAATTGACGTTTTAAAATTGCCTGTATGAGGATTAATCGAAATAAATACTTTATGTTACACTTTAAATACCATCAATTTTTATTATCTAAACAAAAGTTTATACAATAAGTCACATTTGCGTGTTACCAATATATTTACGTATGCTAGATCGTATCTAATAATCACGTCTGACTAAGCAAACGTTATGAAACACTAGGTGCCACTAATGGCTTCGAGCACGCCTAGGTTCTACTTAGTACCTAGATTCTAGATTCTAGACCCAGCTGTTACCTTCACGTTTACTTATTAGTACTTTATAGGTAAGGAAATAGCGTCCATTTTGGTAATATTAGAGGAAGTCACGAATATGTTGTTAGTGATTGAAAAATGATGTAAATTGTTGGATTATTTTAATGAAAT